TAAGGATAGACTTTAGGTCCCATATCCAAGTCGAAGCTACATTTGTGTGAATATTTCAGTACATTGCCCTCTTCTACAATCCTTTGATGCAAAGAAAATGACCTGTCTAAGGCTTCATCATTTACCTTTGAAACACCTCTTTGTGTAGTGCATACAATATGTTGCTAAATTGTCTCATAATATGTGTTTTTCACTTATATTAGAATTAATCAAAAAAATACAAGGTCATTCATTATTACTTGCCTTTGGGCCAACAGGACAGCTCTTTTTGAGTTGTAATTAGGCATTTCCATGGATCAGTAGAGGGAGCCACAAGTCCTATCTAAAAAACTGTGCTTTTGTCAGTGCAGACACAGCATTTGGCAACCTCTCGTCCCAAAAGGCATATTCCAGCCTCACACTTACAGTCTGGACAGGATCCAAAAAGACCTTGCTGGGGATGTGCAGACTCTTGACAACAATTAAGACGGGTCCATAAGAGTGACAAATGCGTCTTCCAAGGTGAAAGTCTGATCCCTTTCTGAGGTTTGTAAAACATTAAGCTTCAGGTTTATGAGTCTGAGTTCAATAAAAGCTGTGAGTGGAACTGCCAGTGTTCACACCTTTCTCCTGCAACACTCCCCCTCAATATTAGTTCTCTACTAAATATGCAGGTCATGATATGGGAAAAGGAAGAAAGCAACTCCCAACTTGGTCTTCCTTCCAGACTGTAAAAAATGTACTTTCCACATGGTTTTTTTTGTCAACATTTTAGTGAATTTAGGACCACGGCCATATAGACAAATTTAAACAACTGTGCTTGCCTTTAATGTTCAGGTAATAAATATGAATTAGACATGTCATGTAGATGTATTTTCAATAAGCCACAGAAAGCATTAAGGCTCTCAATAGCGATTATTTCAAACAATGAGTTGGCCAATTATTCTTTTGATGAATTGATTAGAAGTTTAGATCCTGAAAGGTCAGTATTTTTTTATATTTGGCCAAACCAAAGCTCAATGATGCTTGTCCCATTATTTAAATTTGAATTATTTCAATAATCAATTCATCGTATGAATGAATAAATATCCAGAACATTTCATAAATAGACAGGATTGCAGCAACAAAAATAAGATGTTTCAGGGTCCCATGAAAACATTATGTGTATGTTTAGTTTGTTTTAAAGGCGCCATTGGACTTCACAGATGTACCTTCCTACTGTGCGTTTCCCACAAGAGAGACATAGACAGAATTTCATTCTTTTTCAAAATGTGCTGCATTAAACAGAGAAGGAACATTACCCAAAGTATGGAAAAAGATGAAATGGGAAGAATGTAGCCTAGTTTCATACAGGGAGCTAAGCCCCACAGCATATACAGATAAGATAAGCTTTTGGATTCCCAAGAGTAATACAAACTACATATTTGAGTATATGTGTCAGAGTTTCCTTACGCTGGGTTAGGTATTGAATTTATTTGCACTGAAATATAAGCAACAAAATATTATCTTTTTGCCACAGTACCTTATCAACAGGAAAAACATTACAGTAATGCTTTATCGCATTCAACATAAGTCAAGGGGTCAGCAGGCCTCAGGAAAGTTTAATGCAAAGTAGAATGCCCAATGATTAAAATCCAACTGGAAAGGCCCACTGCTGCAACACAGATCAGCTAAAGGAGGAAGATGGTTTTGTGTGGCTGATGTGGTGAGGTGAGCTCAGGACACGTACAATGGAAGGGGGTGGAGACAGTATGCCAGGAGACGTGCTCTCTTTGACTCAAAAATACGTGCACATGAGAGGTTGTGATTGAATATGTGATAAGCCCTTATTGTCTTCAGATGCAGACGTTTGCCTTGGGGCGATATGACAAAACATTACATGCATACATAAGTACAGGACAACCCGAATAAAGATGCAATTTTGTTCACACATATTACACCAAGCATATGCACATTGGCTACACTTTTTTATTGCACTGCTAGTGTATATGCATCCCCCCATATTATCACTATTGCACACAAACTGGTATCATCAAGTAATTAGCAGTCCAGGATCACTGTTACAAGTTGATCCTGGACTCATGACCCCTAACCCTAACCTCTAACCACGCCCTTGCCATAACCGTTCTGCAATTCTAACTCAATGAAAAAATGTATTCTGGACAAACAACTTTGATTGTTGATTTTCTTGGTGATAACTACTGCACTTCTCCTACAGACTTGGTGTTATCAAATTGTTGAAATGCATTTGCAATCACTTAAGCCAATAGTGAGAATATATTGTTTTGGGATATGATACCATTTGAGCTGAATACATTTCTTCGGGGGTCTCCGATTCCCCGAAGTACTGTAATGCTCTGCTCCTGCTCGGCTTGATAGATGACCTTCTGCCGCACCGGCCCTTCTGTACCCGTTTGGATACTTCCCTATGGCATAAAACTCAATCAAGCATATTTCAAAGTAGTTATTTTCAAAAAAAAATTATGAAATTATACATTTGTCTTTTTTGCATGATAACACAAGGCTAATCATCTTAACCATTTTACATAATAAGGCATCTAGTTTTGGTTTAGAGGCTGTGTTGATTCTTGGATTTTCAAGTAGGTATTTTCTACTGTGGTATTTGGAGTTGAAAGTCATATTGCAAGAAAATCATACATATCCAATATTGCTCTTTTGTCAAGTTTCTTTTGTGTCCTACTGTTCCATTCTCCACTGTTCCTCCCTCACCTGACCTTCATTGTTTGCTTCTTATTCAGTAGATATAATGTCAAATGATAATTTCTATTTGACACTGGTTTTAAGTTACAGAGCAAACAGAATCAAATACTATCTGACTGCAATGTGTAAATCATCTGAGTTTTGGATAGGGTTAGAATTTTTTCCCTTGCGGCTGTTAAGACTATAAAGAAAACATTGTTTGCTTTATTTTTGACCATTGAAAATTACAACGGCACTTTTTACTTCATGCCATTTCATGTTTTATGTTTTTTTTTTGTTTTTTTCCCAAATACAAAAATTACCAGTTTCAAACACAGCTATTTGATTGTATATAATGTATTTTCACTCAAGAAATTGCCACATTCTAATTTATGAGCAATTTTGTTTTCACTTTTTTATTTAACCTTTATTTAACCAGGAGAACCTCATCGAGAGAGTGTCCTGGAAAATACTTCTGTCCAAAAAGGCAGGAAACTGCTCTGAGTGGGATGTCTTAGTGGTACAATGACATCATACCATTGCAGGAGACTGGAGCTTTTAGACAAAAGAGGCGTAGTGAAATGTTTGTGCCAGAAGTTCTTGATGTAGCATGAATGGATCTAAAAACAACTCCAGGTCTGTTTTGATGAGGAAGCTAAAAAAACAAAGAAATGCTTGTTCTTTCTAGTTATATTCAGAAGGACAGTGGTAAAGTTAGCTGTATGTGGGCAAAAGTGGGAGCAACTACAGCTGCCTGCGTCATTCATACTGCTTTACACTCTACATCTTTCATACTTTTTAACTGATAGCGACTAAAGTAAACCCTGCATGCATACCTTCATTAAAACGACAGGCTTGGCTTTTCGCGCAGAGGCCTGGAGGAAGCCCCTGGTACATCTGCCTCTTTTGTTGCTTATAAAAATGTTCCATGTCCTCCATCAAAGTTTAGTGCACTGCCTGTATCCTCACTCCACCTCCCCTCTCCTTCACTGTAATGCAATAATGAAATGTGCTCCCTCTGTCTCCGTCTCTGGCCGTCCTCCTGCCTGAGTTGACGCTTAGCCAGATTCCTTTGGTGCAGCTGAGTCATAGGCCTCACTGTGCATTGGGTGATTTATGGACAGTGATGTGGGAGCAGCAAAAAGCACTGTTGTCAGCTCCGTGATCTCCCAGACACTATATTGCATCAAGGCAAAGACAACTTGCTGACTTCTGCTCAAACCCAGCCCACCCATTTCTTTTGTCTCAACCATAGACGAGAAGAGAAATATTGCCCTCAGCACGAGATGACAGCTAATTTACAATTTTGTTCAATAAGATGCCCTTTCTAGTTTCTAATATGTGTAAAATAATGCATTCTCATTTTACAGATTGGTTTGGTAAACAGACCAGAGCTGCTGACTCGGCTGCTTTGCTGCGCTTTCGGCCACAATTGTGCACTGATTTATTCATACAAACACTGCTTCAAGCTTTAGAATTTTTGCCATGCGCTCTTTCCATTACCCTCAATTATGTTGGCAAGTCTCAAAGAATTAGAACGAAACAGTGGAATATTACATGCTGCTTTAGGGGAATTAATGAAATGTTGAGCGTTTCATGTACTATCAGTATTTCAATACATAGCAATGACAAAATGCATCTTTTAAAGATTTTATTTTACTGATATACCATTTGTTATTAGCACCCAGGAGTACAGCAGAAGAGACTTGTTTTAAGGCTTTAGAGACATTGATTGATCAGTCTGTTCACAAATGGGTGGTTTCATGCCATCATTCAAACACAGTGGTTCTCAAACTAGCTTTTGATAATTCTGCTTATATGATGATTGCCTCACATAGTCTTGTCAAATACATTGTTAATTTTTCGAACTTTGGAAATAAAGATTTCTCTGCTCATTTCACAATGAGAATTGCAAAACTGATGCATGGAAATAAAATGCCAACAGCCTTATGCAGCTTACCAAATAACATCACCCCTATAATGTATCACAATGTATACATATCTAGTATCTAATATATGTGTAGAAAGTTTATTAGGTATTGCAACATAAGACCTTTTTTATTTATCTTTAGAGTATAGGCATCACATCTAACAAATAGAATAAAATGTGATAAGTCCAAGAGTATGAAGTATATTGCTTGACTATTTGCGCATCATCATCTGGGACCACCAAAAATCATTTTACAAACTCAAGCAGCACTAAATTGGCTATCGCCACTTTTATAGAGCAGCTCCCTGAGGCTGTTGATGTGATTCTTGAAAAGACAGGTATTTCTGCCCTGGTACGCTGAGTGCAAAGTTTGAGAATCACTGCTAAAAAGTTAGACTTTTTCATCTTTTGTTTTAGCTGTTTTCTCGTGAGTCTCGACATCTCCTTTGGATTCCCCTGTCCCCTCTTCCTCCTGCTCGTCTCCCTCATCTCCTTCTTCTCTTTCTCCTTCCTCCTCCTTTTCCTCTTCCTGCTCTCTGTTGCCTCCATCATCATCCTCCTCATCATCACCACCATCACCTTCTTCATTTTCATCATCGGCTTCTGCATTTTCTAAATCCACACAAATGGAAATATTTCAAATTATACACAAACATTAAGTGACACATGTTGTGAATCGTTTCAATTAGACTCCTCCAAGAGGAACATGCTAATAATGATTCAATCTTCTCAATTTCCTGTTAAGTGGTCAGGGAGAGAACACAACCAGGATTAGCATAAATCACTTCTTTTTTATATTTTACCATCAGTGTCAGAATTTTCCTTTGTCTCCTCTTCTTCTATAGGAGAGAAAAATGTCAAACATTTGCTTTAATTTTAACAGATTATTGAACTCGCTGCAGGGTCTCACCTCCTCCTTCCTTGTGCTTATCTGCACCTGTTTAAAATAATAAATGGTTAGATACAGTAGAGTTGTTTGAGGAAATGAAAGAAAAGTACCTTTATCCCTGGGTTCATCTTGCTGCTCTTCCTCGCCTTCATCTTAAACAGAAAAAGTCAATATTCAGTTTATAAAATACATCCTGACATAGCATCCTGAATATTGATTCAAGCTGTACCTTCTTGAACCTCCAGGTCTTCCTTCCTCTCGCTGGGTGGGCTGGCCTCTGCCTGCTGTGCCTGGCTGGGAGATATGTTTTCCTCGGTGCACAGAGTGGAGGAGTACCACCTAGGGCAGCTCATCAAGAGTTGTGGAGAGGCTGAGTGGAGCTGAGGTTGGCTGTATGAGAGCCTGCCTTCCACGGCCTGAGAGTAGACGCTCAAAGCTGGAGCTGACACATTCAAACGGTTTTCTTCACCTTCCAGCAACTTCCTGGCAAGCACACAGTATATAATATTTAGCACTGCAATCTATGCTTGGATTCATATTGCCACTACATTTGCACATGTCAAGAAAAAACAACAAGAAATAAAAGAAACTTATACTTTGTTTATTCAGGGTTTTTTGGGTTTTTTTTACAACTTGCCTATATGCTGCAATCTCAATATCCAACGCCATCTTAACATTAAGCAGTTCTTGATAATCTTTCAAATAGTGAGCCATGTCTGCTTTGTTTGCCCTGAGGTTGTCCTCCAATTGGCTTATTGTATCCTGTAAAGAAAAGGAATGATCAAATTATATCCATCATCTACTGATCAATCTAAGTTAAAGGTATATTGGTGGATTTTCTACTTCTGGGTGGATCATCAAGACTATTGGTCCTCCTTATTGACAATCATTCTGGTGATACATGCTCATCAAACAAGAGTGCAGTTCTTTAATAGAATATGGGAAAGTCCTTTCACTATGACAGATTCAAACTCAGTTAAAGTTCTATTTAATTAGTGATTATTTAGTCTAGTTTTAAATCTTGCCTGTTTTAAACATAAATTTGCAGAAATAGCCAAAAAATGATAGTGCTGTAAGTGGGCAATTTCTTGAAATAAGCTTTTTTCCCATGTGCCAATGTTTAACTAGCCCAATGCCCAAGCTAAGAGCGTTAAGCTAATAGATATAGAAGAGTACATAATGAAAAATATATTTTTTTTAACAGAAAATGTGTCTGACCTGGAGCGCTTGGACTTCAGCACTCTGTTTCTCCTCCACTTCCTGTATATGGTTTTCCAGTGCTTTGTTCATCTCCCTAAAGGCTTCAGTCTCCCGTGACCTGGCATTGAGCAGTCTGCGATACTCTCCGGCTTCATCTTTGGCACCCCTGGCTTTTTCTGTGTCACATGCACTGCCCGCGGCCATCACTTTCATCTTTTTGGTGAACCACTCTTCTGCTGACTTCAGGTTGTGCTGGGCCAGCTTCTCATACTGGACCCGGACGTCCCGTAGAGATGCAGAGAGGTCTGGTTTGGCGACCTCCATCTCCACTGTCACCTCTGCAGTGTACTGGATCTGAGCCTGGAGTTCAGCTATTTCGCTCTCACATACACGCTTCAAGAAGTCGAGCTCGTCCAGGAGATTCCCAACTTTCTTCTCCAACTCAGCCTGCCCTAATGTGGCTTCATCTGCCCCCTTCCTCACATCCATCAAATGCCTCTCTGCCTCCTCTCTAGCCATGACTCCATCCTCATATTGCTTTTGCATGTTTTGAAAGACATTCTCTAGATGATCTTTGTGATCCTGGGCTGCTTGCTTCTCACTCTTCGCGTTGTCCAGCACGGCATGAAGCTGGCGGATCTCTTCCTCATAAATGGCCTTCAAGTTGGATGGCTGGGTGTGTCTTTGCCTAAGCAGCAGAAGTTCTGTCTCCAAAAGTTTATTCTGCTGCTCCAAGTCGTGCACCTTGTCAACAAAATTGACAAAGCGGTCATTAAGGTTCTGCAATTCAGCTTTCTCTTGGTTCCTTAAAAGTTTGAACTCTGAGCTGACCAGTGCTGCTTGGTCAAGATGTAAATTGGTCACAGCTGCAGTCACCGGAGCAGAAAGCGGCACAGACCTTGGAATAACTCGGCTGTGGGTAGGATAACTTCTGCGTGAAGAAGCAAAAGAAAAAGGAGCAGAGAGGCTTGAATAAGTAGAGCTTGATCCTATCCCTCCATCATATCTTGCATTCAGCCGAACTGCTCTTCTTTTGTAAGTGGAAGAGAAAAAAGGATCAAAGCTGCGTGAAGACATGATTTTAGACCAACAGCTCAAGTCTAGACTACACTGGGTATCTGCATTACTAGAGCTTTTATAAAGTCTGTAATGACTGTGACGTAAGCTTTTTTCTACTGGCCTGCTGACTAAAGGAATAGAAAATGGTGCCAGCCAGTCATCTCCAGCCAAATAGATGGGGTGGGGTGAGGATGAGAGTGCATAGAGCAGCCAAAGTGATAGAGCTGCAAGACTCTGCAACAGAAGGGTTATTGAGGACAAATGGGAATAAACATCCATTCATTTTACCCTATTATTGTTGCTGTTGATAATACTGTCAGTTGATTCTGAAAACGCTTGTCTTAAAAGCCTCAAGTTTCAGATAAAACCCCCAATTTAGACACATTGTTAATTTGTGAAAAGTTTTACAATATAACAATAAATAATGAAAAAAATATATATACAAATATCAGAGAATTGTGTTGGCTGTGAATCTAGTGGTACTCAGAAAACATTGATATAACAATCTAATAAGCGCCTGCCACCTAGCGGCGATTATTATTAGGACAATTATGCATGTTTTTATGTGGGGAACAAAAGGCTTATATTTTTGACTATTTGTTCATGTGGTGACCCAGCACCAGTAAGTGTGGGCATTATGGCGCCTTTACCTTTGATCAAAGTTCTGCTTACAAAGTTCCAGGATCAACTGTTTTATCGGTTTTCTAGTGCAGGGTTTTTGTCAGCAGAGAAAACGTTCCAAACAATTGATCCTATTGCATCCTAGAGACCACTGTGATGGGAAATAAAGACATCTTGTTAGCCACTCATACAGCCACTGTCACAATAGATTCATGGTCATGGTTAATATTTACAGTCTATGGTCACAACAGGATAAAATATACACAAATACAAACTTTTTCTCCACATAAAAAGTTGCATAGTGCCCCTTTCACTTTTCAGTGGACTATTCTTTCGTGATAAATATCCTCTAATATTGCCTTATGATTTAGCAGTATATCACCTGTAGCCTAAATCAAAATACAGCTATTATAGAATTTAATCGTAGAAAATCTGAATCAACCACCGTAGGAGCAATGCACATAATCCACAGATCTCAAATATATGCCATTGACATAAGTATAAGACTTATGAACCATGATTCTAACCACATACTTTAAGCATAAACCTAGATCTTAGATTTTAAACAGTGTTCATCGGCTCCAACCATATATTGTACACAGTGTGAATATTTCTTCTTTTTTATCCCTTCAACATGCTTTTAACACACGTCGGATGAAGTAGTCCCCACAGTATATAATAAAGTAGTCCATGATAGAATGCTTTCAACATTTGACCAATCAGTGAGCACCTTGTTGGCTGGCGCGTATTACGTCATGACGCAAAGTAGCTCGGTCAGCAGCATGACTAACAACAAAGAAAAAATGTGCAAAATATGAAGTTTCAAACTCGAGTTCTATGGGGTTCATTTCACTGTTTTTACACCGGTGCCTTTGAGGATTTGACCCTAGAGTTAAATGTTTAAATAAATGGTAAGTCATGACGCTAGCATATCTTTGTACATCTTCACTATTGCTACTAGCTGCATGAGCTTAGACAAATTGCAGTTAGCTGTTAGCAATGCTTTTGTACTAATTTAAAGTATTGCTAATAATCGTTATATACGTATTTGCTGCCATTGTTGCATTGTCATTTTAAAGCAATATCTTCTTCACCCTCTGGTTTGCGGCGAGGTTGCCCCTGCCCCAGAGTTTAAAAATGATGTTGTTTATTTTGTTTTTACAGATTATATTTCAGATTTCTTATAGCCTAGAGAGGATCTGGGCTATCTAATTTACCACAATGGTAAGAACACAAGGGCGTTTATTGTTGCTTTGTATTTTAGAATAATGTTTTCAAATTACCATTATGTCTTTAATAATGCGTTTAATGCGCACCTTGTGCTGTTCATCTTAGATTCGCATTGCAGCCCTAAATGCTTCTTTGCCAGCGGCAGATGAGTCTCAAGACCCTTTGAAAAGTTCAAAGAGTCGGACCAAAGAAGCTCAAGTACAGATAATATTCTAAGAGAAATAAAGTCAATATGGCTTACAAATGTTTGTACATTTTTCTTTCTTACCTCAGGAAGCTGAAGCCTTTGCTTTATACCATAAAGCCTTGGATCTCCAAAAACATGACAAGTTTGAGGAGTCAGCCAAGGCTTATCATGATCTTCTTAAAACGCCATTGCTTAAAGAGGTAACCATCGAATAAATTATGCATAGTCATAATTTTCAATCTGACTTTTCTTTATGTTGAAAGGCAATACCAACAGAAGACCAAAGATTGGCCCTCAAGCATCCCGGTCTGATGCTGAAATATTCAACGTTCAAAAATCTGGCGAGTATGGCAGCTTTGAGGGAGGACCTCGAGACAGCTATGGATTTCTATTTGGAGGTCACATCATAATGAACATTCTATTTAACCATCTTTCTCTTTATTACCATTCATGTTTCTTCTTTTCTAGGCGGTGATGTTGGACTCCACTGATGTAAACATGTGGTATAAGATTGGGCTGCTGGCTGTGCGTCTTATACGCATCCCTTTAGCTCGCCATGCTTTTGAAGAGGGATTACACTGTAATCCAGACCATTGGCCCTGTTTGGATAACCTTATCACTGTTTTATACACGCTTTGTGACTACACCTGTATGACAAGTATTGTTGGGTAAATTGTTCACTAATTGGGCTGCTAAAGTGTATTTATATACGTTGTCTCTCCAGGTTGTTTATACTTCATTGCTAAAGCGCTTGAGAAAGATCATTGCTACAGTAAAGCTCTGGTGTTGAAGGAGAAGATCTTTGTGGAACAGCCCTCGCTTAAAAGAGATACCACTCAGATGTTCAAGAAATGGTGACTTAAATTAAACTGCACTTTTTATGACATACATTTTTTTTGCAAATAATGGATTTGTCTTTCTCTACAGTGACCGGTCCATCCATTATGTTGAAGTGGAACCTGAAGAGCATAACTCTATTGTTGAAGAAGCGCTGGAGCTAAGGAGGCGTAGACGGGCCCTTTCGTCCCAGGAGCCACCAGCAGATCTTGTCCTCATTCAGCCAATTCGCTGCCTCTCGTAAGTGTAACCTCGTCGGATCTGAATATTAAGTAAAAGGCTTAATTCATGTTTATATTTTAGCTGGAAGCATGTGGGTGAAAGCCTGCTAGCAATGTACAGACATCAGACGACTTGTGAAACACCTAGGCCAAGTCTTGGAAGAAGAATAGACTTATCAGAATACCGCGAACCCAACTTTCTTGAAAATCTCCCTCAGCCCAAAAGTCCAGTGAGCACTAGCCAAACCACTGCCCCTGTGCTCAGTAGCAGTCCAAGCTCCTCTCTTGCACCGCTTACATTTTCGGAACCAGTTTTAACTGCACAAACCACCTCTCAACTTCCAATCATTCCCACTCTCACAACTGTTGAGGTGACCTCCACAGCAGCACCATCTGTTGGTGAGTTTAATACAACACGTTTTTTACACAGTCAAAAACACATGCTGAAGATAATCTCAAATGTTTCCACAGCCTCAATAATGGAGGCAAAGAAACCACAAAAAAGAAAACGCACATCAGATGAAAATGTAGATACAGCTAAGAGGCGCTCCGCCCGTGTCCGAAACACAAAATGCAAAAAGGAAGAGAAGATTGATTTTCAGGAACTGCTTTTCAAATATCTTCCATCCAGGTACTTGTCTTGGCTTCAGATACCATTCTGTGAATATGTGTATTCATTCCACAATTGACTCCAAAATAGACTTAAGAAGTTTGACCCGGACGATGATGAGAGTTTGAGTAATCTTGATGCCCAGTTCAATGGGAAGGAAAATGTACAGGATATCCAAGGCGGCATGGAGGTCGACACTATAGAATACATGGATTCTGGTAAGGAGTATGACAATGAACTTGAAATACTGTGTGAAACACTTTTACACATTTTATTTTTCATCTTTAGAAAAACAGGATGTCCATAACTTCCTTCTGAACAGCATGAGCAATGGAGGTATCCTTGATCTGTTAATGCGTTATCTTAAAGCTGTGGGAAAGAAATTCTTAGAAAACTGGCCTCGTAGTTTGACTTCTGTGGTGCTTGAGGTGTATCAGACTTGGAGGAAGCACAGCACCGGCCTTCCCAACCCTCTGCTCCGGGACTGCAGTAACCAACACATTAAGGTACCCATTTATTATTATTTTTATTGCCTTAACACATTAAGTTGTATTTGAGAGGGGCACAAAGGTGTACTTGACATGTTTTTATATTTTTTTATATTCTTTAGTTCATCAACCTCTACAAAACGACATCACTTTTCAAAAACAAACTGTGATGATTCTTATTGTTGTAAATTGTGGTTTTATGTGTTGACTATGATGATTTATCACATTTGTGTATACAGCACTATTAGCCTTTTAAAGTTTAAGTTTTAAACTATTTGAAAGGGGACAATGTAATTTAATACAATTTATTATTTTATTGGTATTGACTTTTGAGAAATAATGTTGAAATTTATATTGGATTCACAGGACATTTTAACAATCTGTTTGGCTTGTATGGAGCTTCAGTTGGAGCAGTGGTTACATAGTAAGGGGAAAAATGGTATGATCCTTGCTTTGTTATTTACTAGCATCAGTGTTGCACTTTCTCTAATTTAAAATGTTAATTTGCTTTATAGTATCACCAAGGAGAAGCAGTCTTGGTAGCAGTGAAGACGCTGACTTGGATTTCCCCGGACAGCACTTCCAGGGTGATTTGTTTATGCTGGCACTTGGTTCATCCCAAAAGGACCTCTTTGAAGACGACTGGATGGATATCATGGTGCGTGTCTATTGGCTCAAGGCACGCTACTGGGCTCTGCAGGTAAGTACTGCGTTTATTCTTCAGTGGCATGCTATGGTTTTCACCAATCTTTTTGTGATTCTCTTGATAGGGAAACATGGAACTAGCTTCGGAGAGCTACGACACATGCCTCAGTTGGCTTCAAACTAAACCAAAAACTTTAGAAGGGAAATATTATGCAATCACTCTGCCAAATCTACGTGTGGACGCAACCATTTCAGTGGAAGAGGTGTGGCTTTGTTTGGGCATCTTTTGTTGATCAATAATTTACAAATACTTACCATTCCTGCCAACCAATAATTTATTGGAAAAAAAAAATGAAGGAAATATGCCACTTTTACAGGAAAAAAACTGCTTTTCTGTCAGTCATTATTCCTATTGTTTATAAATGGAAAGGCAATGGTGATAACATGTAAATAACTTTTATGTAATTGTATTATTCTACTCCCATTAACAGATTGAAAAGAGACTGAAGTCCTTGGAACGCTGTCAGTCCCTGGAGGAGATCCAGCGTCTTTTTGAATCTGCAGACTACGGATCAGTCGTGCTCTTGTTGCAGCCCACACTTAATTATGGCAACAGATGCAAGCCCCTAGAGTTTGTCAGCTCCGCACCCGAAAGACCTGCTCAGCTAATGCTATTACAGGTTTGTTTACAGGTCATACTATTTTTCTGCTTAATATTATGACTTTTTGATATGCCTTTGTACGTATAGAGTTCAAAGTCTTCTCCTCTGTTTTAGAATTCATTATTGCGGATGAAAGACTACGGGCAGTGTTTGGAATACAGTGAGCTTTCCCTTAACGAGTCTCTACAACAACTGACATCTGCATCAGCCACTTCGAATCCCAGTAAAGAAGAATGGGTCTGTACCATTGGAAAACTGCTCGATGGCATAGAGTTATGTTTCAACAAGGATACAGACTTGCTGAAAAACGTCACTCACTTCTCCAGTATGGCACGACTGGCTAACAATCTTATCCAGGTAAAGCTGTTTTGTTACAATTTGAGTGACATTTCCCTGGTTTGTACAGTAAAGGCATGCATTTGAACCTATTGTTGTCTTCTCTTGCCTAACTTCTAATACAGATAATGCTGGTTTGAACTAGTGCTGCACAATCTATCTAAAAAATATTGTTATCGTGATATTGGTGCGTGCAATATTCATATCAAAAAGATGTGCGATTAAAAAAATAATTAAAGACAACAGGACAGACAGACGCATCAACATTCAACAAGAACAACAAACATACAAAGTATATAAACATATGCATTTGAAGGTCCTTTATGTTGTGCTTATACTTTGTTATTTGTTTCTTGCGTTTCAATGCAGATTGCAATTGTAGGTGAAAGACAAAAATATCACTTGTTATTGCAATACTAAACACTCATACTGAATACTTGAGCTAATCATCTGTCTTGCTTTTAATGTGTTATGAAGTCCTATATGTAATGCATTATGTTTACAGCTCATTGATCTCAGCATGGCCGTTTCTGATGACCCGAAGGAACCATTTTTCTTCTCTGTCCTGCCTTGGATAATTTTGTATCGCATTATCAAGCATGAGGAGGCTGCTTTTGACTGCATGCTGAGACGGCACATATCCATTGGTGATGAGGAAGGTAGGTTTACTGGTGGTTGTCTCGATGTGGCCTTGCTGTGATGTTTGCTGCTACATTGTGTAACTCTTACAGATGACTCAGACACTCCTATGCTGCCTTCCTCTTTGATGCTTCTGAATACTGCCCATGAGTATCTTGGCCGGCGCTCAATGTGTTGCAATTCAAATGGTGCTCTTCTCAAATTTTTTGTAAGTTGTTTCTGTGCATCCCCATAAATTACCTTAGGCACTTGAACATTATTTTTTCTGTGTTTCACAAAAAGGCAAATATGTTTGTAAACTTTCATTTTGATTAGGTTGAAGTATTGGAGAAAGAATTTGCTGCTTGCCAAAGTGCGACCACTCATCCCTACAGAGAGGAATTGGAGTTTGCCTTAGAACAATGTTTTTTCTGCCTGTATGCCTACCCCAGTAAAAAGAGCAAGGCACGATACCTTGAAGACCACTCTAGTTCACAGGTAACCAAAATGCACATTATTTACATTCTTACATTTTTATGTTGAATAAACTAATACTTAAATTATTTTAATGTAATTTAAGTAGTTTCTGTACATATGATGCAGGTTTTTGTACTTTCAGGTCGAGTTAATGTGGTGTGATGCCCTCTCGATGTTCCAGTATTTTAAACCAAAATCGTTGCCTGAGTTTGACAGTTATAAGACAAGTACAGTCTCTGCAGACCTCGCCAATCTCCTCCGCAGGTTTTCCGGCATTGCCCCCATGGGCGACACACCAACCCTTAACATGGAGGAAGTAGCTGCCTACATTGAAGGCAATAATGATAAGGTCAGGGGCTACTATTTTGAATTTGTTTAAACCTTAAATGTATGTAATGCTTTTTAAATGTATGTTTATATATACCCAGGTCCCAGGTTTCCCAGACGGTACTGCTCCAGCACCTCCTATAATTAATGAAATGTACTACTTGCTGGCAGACTATCATTTCAAGAACAAGGAGCAGACCAAAGCCATTAAGTTCTACATGCATGACATATGTGTTTGTCCAAACAGGTTTTTCATCTTATTCATTATCAATGCTATTATTTTCATTAATTGTTATTTTATTAATAACAATAATTTGTTCTTTCAGATTTGATTCTTGGGCAGGTATGGCTTTAGCCAGAGCCAGCCGTATTCAGGAAAAGCTTAACTCGAATGAATTGAAAAGTGATGTACCCATATGGAAGCTCTCACAGGCTGTACTTAACTGCTTTAAGAGGGCTCTTGAGATCGACAGCACCAACCTATCTCTTTGGATTGAGTATGGGACCATCTCTTACGCTCTTCACTCGTTTGCTTCGCGACAGCTCAAACAGTGGCGCAATGAGCTTCCCCCAGAGGTTGTAAAACAGGTGACTGTTGGATTAATATTACTTTAATTACATCTATTAATGGATTGGACTGAATAGAAGATGGGCATTTTTCAAAAAAAAAAATCAAAGTTGGTTAGCATCAAAATGTGATGGTCAGAGCAATTCAAAAACATCAGCTTCTTTAATCATTTACTTTTTATCAATGAAATCTGACACAATAGATAATTACAGATGCTCACCCAATTTATTTGAAGTTTAAACCTGTTTGTTGCTTAATCTTAATGTTTGGATTTAACTGGTTTGTTGTGATAGAAATTAAAGAAAGTAAAAATTAAATGAATATTTAACCTCCTTTTTGGACCAAGCATATATGGCATCCTGACATTTTTTCATATCTCTCTTTTAGCTGTCTATCAGTCAGAGGATCTGTCACTGAGTGCTAAATTACTCATGGGTACTTGTGTTTGTGTGCTCAGATGGAGGAGAGGAGAGACTCCATGTTGGAGACTGCACTGCAGTGCTTTCAGGGTGCATCCCGTTGTGAGTGTGACAGCGATGAGGAAGAGTGGCTCATCCACTACATGCTCGGAAAGATTGCAGAGAAACGCAAGAAGCCTCCAGCGGACTATCTGCAGCTTTATAAAAAGGTAAGTGGACATTATTTCCTTTGCTGTGAGCTACTACTCTCCTTCTGCTACTTCCTGTTCCTCCCAAGATTTCTCAAGCAACCTTTTTTTTTACAGTTTTGTAAAAGTTGTATGAATGTTGCCAATGAATATGTTTAAACATTTAAGTTAACTTGCTAAGTAATTATGTAACTAGTAATTATGTTCAACCTTTTTTTTGTTAGTCAGCAAACTATTTACATGAAGAAGCTGCCCGGTATCCACGCAAAATCCACTATCACAGCCCTCCTGACTTGGCCATGGAGGCCCTTGAGGTGCAGTCATAAATTCATACTCATGAATATGCATACACGTTGGCTGTATTATGACCAATTTGTATTGAGTGTTAGGATGCGTTCACACTCACAGTGGTCTAAATGGAGTGTTCACTTCAGAAGCAAATGCAAAAGTCCTCGTAACTTCACAGATCTTTGAGCGCACCCTTAGTTTATTAGCCTATGCTGACTTCTACTTTCTTTCTGACAGCTACATTTTCGGCTCAGTGCAACAATCTTAAAACTCTTGGAGAGTGGTGACCCTGATCTCGATTATGAGTTCTTGTTCAATTTATTAGTGGAGGCTGCTACAGGATCATTTGCAAAGGGTGAAGAGAAGAGTATACCCAGTGTCCCAAGATCCATTGAAAAGTAAGTCTTTGAATCTTCAGTTTGTAAAGGACTACTATAATATATATTAATTAATCTGTTATTTATAAAAAAAAAAAAAATTTTAAATCTATATACAGTACATTTATTAATAACATGTATCATTGGGTTTTTAGTAAGCCCAGTATACATTAATGCGTTTTCCCCACTTTATTACACAAGGTAGCCCACCCACAGGATTTGTAACTCATTAAAATCACATTCACTTTCATGCATCCAAATCTAACACCTTAAAAGCTTAACATTTTTTCAGCCTTAAAGTTGAGAGAATAACTGTCTCCAATCATTTGACTCAATCTGATGTCATTTTCATTCATGTTTCCATATTCCCAATTTTTCATTCTCTAATCCATAAATAGGCAATTGGTGAAGGAAATAAACAGTGGCTTCTTCACTGATTGGTTTGATGAAGTCCAAAACTACAAAAATGCAACTGGACAATAACCTGTAGTGTTTTTTTTTTTTTTTTTGTAATAAAAAAACCTTCATTCAATTGTATTTTTATTTTTTGACCTTTGATGGTAACATTAATTTCACCTAAACTGCTGTTTAAACTATATGTTAGTGTAGTGTATTGGGGACAGTGATTTTGAATGTTAGATGTTTTGATGTTCACACAGAGACAAGCCAGCTTCTATGGTGGATGAGGATTTCACCAACTCCTCAGTTTGCATCGGAAACGTGCTAAGGTCATCCCTCCCATCGGCAGCCACTCCAGGTCTGACATCTCCTCCTTATGTGGCCACGCCGCCTGACCATGATTACGCCAAACGCAAAACACTCCGGCGGCAGCAGTGGCAGCAACAGCGGCATCAGGAGCAGCAGGCTGATGGTACAGTCCCAGGCCGAGACACTGTCTCTGGGGTTTGGGCCTTATGCTCTGTCCGCACCTGTCACATGGCCCCGTGCACAGAATGCTAATCACCATGCTTAATGGCTTTGGTTTCAGTTACCCCCTTTGTACTGGGTGATTGGGATGTGGTGAAATGGGCAATATGGCTTGGAATGATTTCACCTCACTATTCAGAATGAATGCTTGTTTGTCACAAAATGACTACATTTGAAGAAAGATATCAAATGAAGGAGCTGTTTACATACTGAAAAAGTACATCCAAATACTTTTACTGAGAATATAATTTACAACCAACCCGTCCATCCTTCTTCTGCTTCTACTTCCATGCCTCCAGAAAATAGTTCCTGGGAGATAATCACAATAATTTAGAAGAGCAGGGGCTCTTCTCCGCACCCCATGTTACTGAGCTTCTACTTCTATTTCTAAAGCTGGGGGAAAGATGTGGTGCCCTTGACAGTATGAGTCTTTTTGGTCTGGATGGTGTCAGCGGTCCTCAAAGGACACAGTTGCATTTTGGAGTAATCTATAGCAAACGTCAAAGCAGCACTCTCATTATGAATTTCACTCCAGGCACCAGACAGCCGGAAGATATACCCCATTCGTGTAGATTTCACTGTTTTTATTTAGTTTTTAGGTGGATCATTTGCATTTTAACCAAATATTGTGACCGGTGGTTAATTCAACCAGCAGTCTTTCAATCTCTGCTAAAAGGAGATTGTCGATGTCTCATTGATTTGAACTGTGCAGAGTATGCAGTCATATTGCCCATGTTGCCTGTGGTCACCCTGTCCAGATTCCTTCCTGCCTACCTGCCTGCTACCTCTGTGCCTGCTTGCTTTTACCACCTGCTTTGCCATTTATGCACACTACAGGGAAACATTATATTGTCTTTTTCTTAAAGATTTTGATTCCTTTATACATTTTATCTTGGGAAGTCAGTACACTACTAAATGTATCTTCATTAGATTTAGAATACTGTATCACTGATGATTTAAACTGGGTCATTCTTAGCTTGCAGCTGGAAGGTAACTTGCTTTATCTTTGAATACTCTTCAATGTCTTCAATAGATCACTGGGTGATTTAGACTAAAACTAAGCTGATTCACAAATTTCTTTCTATGTTTTACAATGTAGTTTCTTTATTCTGAAAAGTGTGAATCTGGTTCACTGGGGAATGATATCACATCAAGTGTTTTGACACTTTTGACACTAATTGTTTTCTGTAAGATGCTGAATGGTAAAACAAACTCCCCATATCATCAACAGCCTCCCCAGAGTTTGACCATAATTACTGCCTGAACAGGTCTTCAGTGTGGCTGGCTTCAAAAAATGGTACTGCTCCTCCTAAACCTGCAACTCACTTCCCCTTTTCCCATTTTCTAAAACTAGAGTGATTTGAATATGTTTTTGTCGGCAGTCCTACAGTGCCCTTGTTCTGCTTTTGCTTAGCCTGCAAACAGAGTTGATGGTGGCATGGTTGAGACAAGAATCTCCTAATTAGAACAGTATGAGTATGAAATGTGTTGTCAGCAAAGTATTCGTAAGGGTAATGAAAAAACGTATTTTGCCTTATCTTGATGGTTTATCGAAGGCTGATCACTCATTACTGTCTGAATACAATAATCTTAAAATTATTAACATTTAAAGAGCCTGTACCCATTATTCTGCATTATTGAGCAGTCACTCTGAGAATCTGATGTTTTTTTTGCATTTAATTTGAAAGTGTTATTTTCAGATAAACAAACTTACCACTTAACAAGCCCGAGGCTTTGTAAGTGAAAATTGTTCATAAGGTCATTGTAATGCATAATTCAGATGCTTTAGTGTTGTAGTAGTTGCCATAGTAGATAACTATGTGACAACTATCAGTAGTTCTAAATTATTCTAAAACTGCTTTATAAATGACACACACTTATATTAACATGTCTTGTTAATAGTTATTAATAGTTTGAGCAGTCTTTCTTAGAATATTAGAGAAAGTGAGGGATAATCTTTTTTTGGTAATATCAAATGGTGAAAAACTAATTCAATGTTAGGAATGTAACAATTGGGTACAGGAGCTTCAATTGATCATTTGAAAATGTATCCTTAAACAACCGACTGCATGATTTTGTTTGAATTGTCTAGAGCGGAGTCAGGACAGTGAGGTGGTGCTGCTTTCTGACTCCAACTCCACTCAAGATGCCTTCACTGACCCCACCAGCTCTCAGGACAGCAGCCACAGACCTGCGGCTGGGAAAGCCAGCTCCACCTCATCGGAGAGCACCACGCCAGTGAAGGAGGGCCAGCCAACATCGGACGAAACAAGTATGTTGAGACCGATTGAAAGAATTGAGCAAAACTGAAAGTAGTTCTAAGTATTATGTAGCACAGGGTTTTCGCCAGGACTGTTGAGTGTTGGGGACCCCGATGCGGTGCTTTCTGCAGCATTCTGTCCCTTCTTTCTGCTTTTCAACCAGCTTTGGGGGAATTTCTGTAGTTTTCTTGTGTAGTTGCTCTGACAAATCAGCTACTTTTCACTTTTGTAATATTCAACAAAGTCAAAAACAGTCTCCCTGCCCCCCGGGTTCCCGCCTCTGTGCGCTCCACGGAAAAGTTTTTTTTTTTTTACAAAGTTTGAGTAATGAGAGAAAGCTACAATTTCTATCTTGCATTTATTATAAGCAAACACTCATGTGTTGCATGAACGCAAAACGTAATTAATCCAATTTAAATTCCACACTCTCCACAACTGCCTTTGCTGATTTAATTGTTGTTGTTTGCTGTTTCCAGTAGTGTCTGCTTGGCTAATGCTGCTGGATTTTAAGAATTCCGGTTGTTTGGTGCTTTCTGCAGTTCCTGTAAATGGCCCTGTGGGGGAGGTTCCTGCAGTGGCGACGAGCACCAATGGGGCTGGCCCTGGAATATTACCCTCAAGTTCCTGCAGTGGAAACGAGACTATTGATATGGCCCTTTGTCAGTGCTTTTCACAATAACCATGCAGAACATTTATGGCCAGGAGTCTTTTTTTTCTGTAGCTCAATATGTTCTTGAATATTATATTTATCAATTTGTTTGAATTGTTCTTTCAGCTTTGAACAGTGACAATGCCTCTGTCCTGGTGGAAGAGAAGATGATGCAGGAGATTGTGGAGGTGATCATACTTCCGGAAAGTATTCCCCCCAAAGCTCCTGTGGACATCCCACTATCTGCTCACTTGGTCCCCACCACACCTCCAAAACCACCCCCCTCCCAACAGACAGCCCCTCAGACTCCAGTGAGTGACAGCAAGAAGAAACCCGAGCTACCGCCTGAAGTGATAGAAGTTCCGAAAGCCTTACCCACCCATCCAGCAGAGCAGAAGAAGATGCTGGTGGATATGTGTGTCAGGGCTCTGTTCCTCTGTCTGGGCAGATTCCCTCAACATTATAAAAGTCTATATCGTCTAGCGTTCTTCTACACAAACAGCAAGACTCACCAGGTTTGTCCAACCTTTAACTTGAAATGTGATATGTCTAAACAAAAAGAACCAAGATCTTCTCCAATAATGCAGCTCTGCAGGGTACCTTCCACGGACTTTATATAACAGATGTGTTCACGGAGGTGTGCAATAAGTTTATTTTATTATTAAATGGTATTTCCGCATCGGCGAACACTTGAAGCAGTTGCATAAAGTCACGGGAGCATGACAACGCATATAATCACAAGCACACAGTCCCCCATTGCCAACCCTGGTTTTAAGTCGTGGTGTAGCTCCTGTTTCGGCTGTTTACGAGTATTTGCAGTCTGCTCGCTCAGACCACTAATGTCCCCATGACCACTTTGCGGCTCTCTGATTGGTTGCTGCACAAACGTCCCGAGGAAAGGTTGAGCAAAGTTTATCTCCTGCTCCGTTCGTGCGTCCTGAGGCCTGGACTCCACCGGGCGCGTCTCCGTTGACGCGCGTTGGCTGCAGTCCGTCAGACGTCCGTAAAACGGACTAGTGGTCAAACCGGCTGCAGCAGCGCGCAATTCTGGCTGTGCGTTTATCACAGCCAGCCGCTTTGTTTTTGTAGGAGACACGTTTGGGCATTGTGTGAATGAAGGAATGTTTGGCTGATGGAGGAGGTATGTATTGTCGGCGTGCATGTGTGCGTGAGCGTGGGCGTGTGCGTGAGAGCGCCTGTGTGTGTGTGTGGTGGGAGGCGTGTGCGTGCATGTGTGTTTGGGTCTGTGACTGCAGCGTTTATTATGATCCACCTCTTTGTTTGTTTTCTACTTATTTAGCGCGTCATACACTTTTATCGGACCCAACTCGCCTCTCCGCGGCTTTAGGCAACAGGCAGAGCTATAGTTTTAAATAGAAGAAGCGGTGTGTGATGTGTATGAGCTGTGGCTATGATCTATGCAAAGCACGGCATATTGAAGCATTGAGGACGTCGCGATGGATGAGGCAAAACTTATTGAAAGCAATTGGAAAAAGGGGAGAGAGAAAAGAATTCCAACATATCCAGTGTTGTGAGATCTGTCTCTCATAAGTGCAGCTCTGTGTGTGTGTGAGTGTGTGTGTGGGAGCGCGCGGCGGTGGGGAGAGAGCGGCTCGGCGGTAGACGGGACAGAGCGAGAGAAAAAAAGGGCGAGGTGTATGTAAAGTTTAGCGTATTAACATTACGCGAAAAACAAATGGTAGATTTACGATCAGGAAACAATTATTAAAGTAATACATGAAAAAACGTTACACACGTTTGTTAAAATTCATTGTCATTAACAAATACTTATAACCAAGGACTACAGCATATATCAATACATGTTTAATAATGTTGTAAATATATTATTCCATTGTATTTTCAATGGAAAACGGACCCGACACGCGTCGACGGACGGAACAAATAGGATTGTTTCTATTTCGTCCGTCCGCGTCAGTTGCACCCTCCGTTAACGGAATACGTCCGACGTGCGTCGGACGGACGCATGCGGAGGCAGTGGAGCCACTTCCATTCACCCTCATGGAGATAACGGAGACGGAGATGAAACGGACATGTTTGGACGGATCCGTCGTCCGTTTTACGCACCCGGTGGAGTCAGCGCCTGAGACGTACGCGCGTCACCATTGACTTTGCATTGAAAGCCGACGCAACGCATGATCCGGTCTGAAAGCACCATTAGATGAGGTGCAGTTGGATTCTTTAACAAAAAGAAAAAAATATATGGTGCTAATTGGTACAACCCAAAGGACAAAACATATTTGAGGACAGGGACAAGTTGAGAGTTGAAAATGTATGTTATTAATACATTTTCAACTCCGTAAAACGGACAACGGATCCGTCCAAACATGTCCGTTTCATCTCCGTCTGCGTTACCTCCATTGCGGGTGAATGGAAGTGGCTCCACTACCTCCAACATCTGTCCGTCAACGAAGGGTGCAACGGACGCGGACGGACGAAATAGAGGCTGGATCATAATAAACGCTGCGGTCACAGGCCCAAACACACACACACAGGCGCACTCACACACACGCTCACGCACACATGCATGCCGACAATTCATGACTCCTCCATCATCCGAACATTCATTTATTCACACAATGCCCAAACGTGTCTCGTACAAATACAAAGCAGGCTGATAAACGCACATCCAGAGCTGCGCGCTGCTGCAGCCGGTTTGGCCACTAGTCCGTTTTACGTCTGACGGACAGCAGCCAACGCGCGTCAACGGAGCAGAGAGGGGCGGGAGTGCACAAGGACAGAGCTTCTTATTCTCCCGGCCCGAGCTGCAAAATATACAAAATAGGTTACAAAAAGTTTATCAAAACATTATCAAAAAGGTAACGTATAAAAAATACTTAAAGAAACAATCTTACAAAAAATTACAAATTCCAAAAATACCGGGACAAAAAAAGATAAGACACAAAACCAAGAGGGAAAAGGTGCCCAAACATAACACTACAGTACAGTATTTTCCTTTTTATTGTATGAATTATATAATATGAATGCCAATTCATTGAATCTCGGTATTGATCAAAACACATCAGTTCATTTATGGACTGATGTGTTTGGATGCTTTAACATTATGTGGATGCCTGTGGTGGCCTGGGCTTATGCTGCATCAATGAAGTTGCTGAAGCAGGCTGTGGAGCTCTGGAGCTCTGTGGGCAGAGGTGTGCGTGGGCGGGAGCACAGTGCGCTCTCAGCCAGTTTGGCACAAGGAGACTGTGCGGCTTCTCTGCAGTAGCATCCTTCTGTCGGCACCCACTTTGTTAAGCCATTTAAAACAGCTTTATATGTCTTAATGATTATTTATGTATTAGCTTATCTCATGCACAGTGTGCCTCATATTAAAATGGTTTGTGGCAGTATAAAGAACTATTTCACAGCAGAATTAAAATGTGTTTAAAAGCAAGATATTTAATGCTAAAATGCCTGCTGAAAGGTATGTTCATACAATTAAAATGTAAATCACGAAAAGGCATGAGTCACACGTTTGCTCATTTTTCTTTTGAAAAGAAAAAATAACACTCTGGTATTTGGAACAGACAGAGAGGCTCTATGCGATGAAATGTCTTAAAACCTGTTTTGTTACCTAAACAACAAGTAATAATTATCCTTAGAGACATGTTTTCAGATGCCTTGCATATACATACTTTGCTTTGAATAATAATTATGTCTCTGGGTTTAACTGAGAGTGCAAATGAATTCCTTATTGTGTACAAATCCCAAGAATGCCCAGTCTGATTTCTCATTACATAATTTAATTACACTTTATGTTCATTTGTTGTCAAAACAATCTATTTCTGCTCTGTTTTAGTTGTTGAAACGATCAAACCAAATGCATTTATTCCTCCTGATATGTATTTTCTTCTCACAGAACCTACAGTGGGCCCGAGATGTGTTGCTAGGAAGCAGTGTCCCATGGCAACAGCTAAAGCACATGCCTGCACAAGGACTTTTCTGTGAACGAAACAAGACTAACCTGTTTAATGTAAGTTACAGGTTGCGATGCTTGCATCTCACTCATAACTGCCTCACATATGGGATTTGATATAACATTATCTACAAACGGTGTTCATAGAGTACGATTCACATTATTGATTATTCTGTTCTTTCATCTTAGACTCACTAAAACTTCCAGATGTTGTTCCACAGAGCAGGCGATGTATTAGTCATCAATTTACATGTATTTCACTCTTCTATGAGCTTGTTGAAATAGATTGATTGACATGATTATGATTTGGCAAAATTCACACATGCATATAATAAAAGTCTGGATATATAAATATATAATATATGCCTTTGATATCTAGCAATCCTCCAATCTCTCCAGACTTTTATTATATATGTATTATCTTTGGCTATAATTTTCATGTGGCTTTTTTCCTGAAATTGCTGCTGCATTCCTCCCTTTTCTCAATATTGTATACATAAAAAGTGTTCTTATAACATTTAATAGGCATTTATACCCCTGTCAGGAATGAAGCAGACAGAGACGGATCGTGGTGCGCCAAACTCTGGAAGTTTATTTAAGTTTCTCTCAAGTTCCAGTGGTTTCAATTGTTTCCTTCTCTCAGACAAAATGGAGTCAGTACACAGTTTATATAGTCATTGTCACGTCACACATCGAAAGACGTACGTGTCACACAGAGACAGAGCACATTATGGTCAAAACATGGAGTCCTCATCAGAGTCCTTGTAGAGTCCTGCACGTAGGCCATATTGCTATCTAATCCTAACACTCACCCCTTTGATCACATAATCACACGTGATCACTCAATTTGATCAATCAATAAAGTGAAAAAAAAAATAAAAATAAACTTTCAACAAAAACTTTAAAACAATTATTAAAAAACAAAGAAAATGTATGCATTAAACTCCATCCATCCATTTCCATCCATTTTCTACCCTTTAATCCATTTCTGGGTCAGGGGGGTGGCAGTCAGAGATGCCACCCAAGTCTCATAGCACCAGCCCCTCACTGACCCTCTGCAGGTGGTGAGTCCACAGGAGGACGGCTGCTCTCTGAGTGTGAGCATAGCCTTGATCTTTCAGTGGGGGCTTTGGGCAAAGTGGGGTTAAGTGTCTTGCCCAAGGACACAACGACAGCAGTCATCAGTGGGAGTCGATGGAGAAGGTGCAGAGGTGGGAATTGAACCTACGACCTTCTCCAGGTGGCTGCATTAAACTCATTATCATCAAAATCAATATCAGTGGATTTTATCCTCTATCCTGGGGAAAAAACAAAACAAAAATAAACAAAAACCCTATTGGACACACAAGAACTCCGCAGATTCAGTCAAAACACAGACAAAAACGAGCTGAGTCTCAATTAGAAGCTAATTTATCCTTTCTTAATGACAATTGTTTACACTACACTTAATTCACTGTATTATTTTCACTTTTCAATCTTACACTGTGTACTTTACTTTCATGATTCACTATAGTTTAAAACTATTCTAATCTATTTACAAATATGTTTGTATATTTGCTTTTATTGAGCCATATTCTTAAACATATATTTTAATCTAATAAATCTCTCTGTACTGTGGTTTACTTTCATTATCAGTAGCTTTGTGCCAGTGGGATTTTGCTATTCTACATTCTCAGGAATAAAACTGTGAACACAGTAAGACAAATGGTTAATATGAACATTATTATGGTGGTCAGTTTTCCAAATACATTTGTTGAACCAGGAAGTGCTGTCACTTCCTCCTCTCAGGCAGTTTGGGATCAATGTACATCTTTAATCAAATTGTTATTATCCTTACAAGAGCTAATCTATTTTAGCAGGTTATCTGTGGTTGGGGTCAGTTATTCTACAATGGTGTTTGATTCTCTATTCTGTGCTGGAAACTTCTCAATACCCCTAAATAACTTAACAAGTGCAGGTATTAAATCTACTTGGAGCTTGTTTAGCATGTCTTAATTTACACAGAGTTAATTGTTGGATCTATAAAGTGCTTGGTGCTAACAGACTGTATTGGTGATGTGAGCCAGTACTGAACTGCAGGAGCGCTCTGCAGCTCCAGGCTCCCACTGGGTTTTGCAGAGCCCCTTCTGGATTTAAACCTGCTCTTGCTTCGGCGCACCAACTGTTGGAGCTTTACTGTTCGCACAGACTCAGCCCTGATTCCAAAGCACTGTGGAAAACACCTTACCATGGTGAAAATACATAAGTTGTTAACAGTGATAGCTGTGTTCAACAGGTGAAGATATTTTTTTCTGTTTTCTCTGCTTCTTTTCTAGCCTGGCCTTAGCCATCTAAACGCTGGTCAATTATAATTTCCCTACATGTACGTCTGGGTCTGATCCAGGTGGCTGCAGTTGTCGGTTGTATCCCATCCGACCATTCAGGGAGCGGAGGAGGCGGGTGTTGTAGATAGGTTTCGGTGATGTGAAGAGTTTGCACTGAATTTGCTGGTTGTATTTTGTCAATAGTGGCGAATGTGATAATAAAGTAATCTGTTCTGGTTTGGCTACAAATATCAAGAAATTTAAGCTGGAGCCAGAGGACTGTTTAGCAAGTTTCATTGCTGGCAAACATGTTGTGGCTCTACTCCCCACTGGCTCAGTTAGTGGCAAAGGAGATTGCAAGGCTAAATGCCTCACTCACTGGGGTGCGTTGCATACGTCACCACCAGATACGCAGATCCAATTGTTTCAATCTGCAAAAGGAGTTAACCTCTCCCACCTGTTTACGGAGCTCAATTAGGCAAATCCAGACCTTAATATGAAATGAAATTAGTACAATGGTGTGGTAAGACCAGGCTACCTTTCTTCCTGTTACCTGCTATTTCTTAATCACATTTAAAAGTGGGATATTGGTAGCTGAAAGATTTTTGTAGCCTTCATCTGCTTTGCGAGCATAAATAATTTGCATAGGGAAATTCATGTCTATTGATTGTCGAATAGGGATTACTACTTGATTATCAAAAACATGTTCCTCTCAGTAGTCCTGTCATAACTATTTTGTTTTTTAAAGCCAAAATTTGTACCAGCCAATATCCACCATTGGCTCTTGTCGATGCAAGTCGGCTGAAACCCATGCCATGTGAACGTTCTGCAAATCCCTTGGGGGTTTCTTGTTTCCTGAGTCACCGTGACCCACGTGGAGCCACCCATTCAATTGAAGTGGCTTGTACAGGGGAGTGTGGCCTCATTGTTTTGCATCCACGCCTGTTGTAGCAGGATGGAGCTTGCCCTCTGCACAATAAAGCATCACGCCCCTGTATGCCCTGGACCAGGTGTAAAGACGCTCATCTCATTTGTCCCACTTTGTAGAAGCTCAGTGATGCAGCTTTCAGTCATAACACGTAGAAAATATGCTATGGTCTTTGACGTCTCGATCAGCACCACATGCCCACAGGGGCAGCCACAGCAACCGCTTCTATCCGCCTCAAAGTGCCAACTCGCACAGCCATGCCTCTGCTGCCGCCGGCCCACCACCATATTCTTCCCACACACTGCGTGTAAGTACATGTCACACAAGCAGCTAGAACAATGTAATCAGAATGCCCCAAAGACATTTTGCATCACGCCGGAACACACCAAACCAATTTATTGCAAATTCTGCAGGTTTTTACATTTTATATCATCTAAAATATTGATTTAATAACGAGCCACAGCAGCATAACTCAAAGTTATGGGAGGATAGACAAACCGGGAAACCAGCACAATTGCCCAGTGAACAAGTGATTTAATTTTATAGGTGCTCTGACTCTCGTCTGGACAAAGATTTTTGTTTATTTTTTTAAGATACTGAACTGCCTCTCTAGAGGCCTGCACTCTGTGTGTACTTTTCTGGGTATTTTAGTAATTTTTGACCTGCTCCACCTTCTTGCTTGCTTGAAATGGAAAATGTCTTTAATTTGCGGCTCAAAGTCCCGGTGTCTTCCCCCTTCACCTCCTTGTGCTCTTCACACATACCCTTGCTTGCATATCCCCCACACTCAGTGTTCTGTCTCAACAATATGACAAGCGAAGCATGGAGGTTCACAGAAGGCATTTAATCAACACCACCTGTTAACAGTAAAACTGAAATAACTTTGGAAGAAACATTGCTTATAGATTTTGCTTCTTTAGGTGTGATGTGTGACTCAAATCTTGTGCTGTAGTAGGTGGAGCACCTCAAAGGTCCTTTCAAAGTGGGAGGAGTGCTGGCCAAATGAGAATGTTTTGAAGAAGTTGATGTTTTCTGTGGAAGTCTTGCTGCCATCTGTGATTTTGGTTTTGACTGCCTTCTACAGCACTGCTTTTGACTGTTCTGATTAGGAATCAGGAAGCGCAACATGCATTTGGAATTATATGTTGGAAAATTTGTTTGTTGACCAGCTGTTTACGCACACGCAGAATTGGAGGTGAGAAACTATGTTGTGAAAGATGTTGTTGGTAAGTTTCTACCATTGTGTTTTGGATGGTTTCTGCTTTCTTGCTTTGTTCATCTGTACAAACATGTTCATTTGTTGAGCCACTTCTTTCCTGTTGCTCTGTCTTCAGGCTCACATTCAGCCCCTCCCCTTGGCTCCTTCTACGCTCTACTCATCTCTTGTGTGCTGCACTGCTCAGTTTCCTCATGACTCTCATGTAAGTGTGTGTGGGAGTGCACACATAGGCGGGAGTTTGGCTGCTTGGCTGTGATAGGCTGGCATACCCCAGCAGGGATTGGCTGTTGGCTGTGTATAGTGCGGGAAGGAAGGGAGGAGGAACTCTGGGGTCAGGGGAAAGCGAGCTGGAGTGCGTGGGTGTTTTGTTTTGAGATGGCAGGGTCTGAACGCAGCAGAGGAGCGGCTCAACCTGTCTGTCAGTGGCACATTGAGCTCATAGGCCCTGGCTTCTATGCTGACTCTCCGCTTGAGGAGGCGGCCCTTCTCTTTGGGTTTTCTGCTGTGTGGAGTTGTGCTTCCCGCTCTTCATCTTCTGCTGTGCTCACCGCCCAAACATCCAAATGCAACGAGCCTTGTGCTCTGAGAGCGTGAGGCTCTCTGTGGGTGGAGGCACTGCCAGGGCGGCTGGGGCTACTACAGCCACCAGGAAACTACCCAAAAGTACTGTCGAATAGGCAGCCAGGGTAACTTCCTTTGGTGATGGTGAGTCTTCTTCTTTTACACACTTTACTAGTTCAATAAGAGAATGTTTACAACATGTTGACAACAACAAACTAAGCATTTGAGTGACCTGTATGTTTACCAACTGTTTTGCTCTGTTAACAAGAATGTGTTGATGCTTTGCTTCTGTGAGTCTGGTTAAACAATTGCTTGTAAATCTATTATTATTTGGGTGTTTTAAATATTTGGCCAATTTTGCAGTTTTAGGTTCTCGGTCTAAAAATGTGTTTTGTTTATTCATCGGTTCTTTTCCATCAGAATTTTTTGGGGGGACTAAACTTTAAGTCAAACATAACATATCTTGTTGATTCCCTGGTTTGTTCTGCCCCTATGCCTGGTATATGCTATTACTTGTTTGTATATCGGTTTGATAGAGCTTGATCGGCTCAATCATGAATGTAATATGAAGGTTGTGATCTTGGTTGATGAGTTTTTAATTGTCCCTATCTTCTTATTGTTCCATTGTTTTGACTTGTTCATTGCCATGATGACAATTGTTAAAGGATCTTTATACTGAGTTAAGGCTGCTCCAGCTGCTGAGTATTTCCTGTCAAAAGTGCAATATGCTTAAATTTGGTGCAGTTCAAGTCTTAAATCTGCTTTAGCTGTTGTGCTGTAGTGTAATCTGTATAAAGCCATGGCTCTGCTTCCCCTAAACAGATTTACTCTGGTCTGATGATTCTCTGATGAAGAACAACTCTCCTCCATTAGTGATGTTTTTCTCAGTGAGCAAACCCACCCCCTCATCGTACTAGTCCTGCTCCTGTTAGAGGCTTTTGGTAATCTGTGGATCCAATAGTTCGAACCTTGGCTATCCCTGGCCGATTGCATCATACATTTTTATAGTCCTAAAGATTTGTATTCACGTTGCAGTCAGCATTGGCTTCCACAACTCTACAATGTCTGGGGTGGATTTAATTACAGTATAACATGTTCTTTGATATCTTCATTAAGTTTGTAACATACATTGTCTTAATGGCTTTATTACATGAGCCCCAGCCTCATTTTAGTGACTGTTATAAGGTGTAATGTGTGCCTTGTTATTCATGCTCTCCACCTGTGTGTATCTCCTCTGAGTAGTACAGTGCTGGGCTTTGCTATTCTGTTGGAACTTATATCTGACAGGGATGCGTGGTTTCTACTTCAAACCCACATTGTTTTGAGTGTTCATGGGATTGTTGGCAAGCAGCTTTGTGGTCTGTTGCATAGCCTAAACTGAACTGTTCTAATGAGGCTGCTTATCATGTGCTCAGAGAGATCCCTCCATCTTCCATTTTGTTAAATGTTTCTTTTTCAATGCCATATGTTAAACTCCCCTTAAATCATTTGTTACCTGCATGATTTCGGTCCAGTTGTTTTACCTGAATAATAACGTATGTAAACCACTCATGAGCTTAATCTCTTTATAGTATTAAAAATATGTTTTTTTTTTCATTGTGCAATGTATTTGTTTCATCATTACATTACACAAAAATACAAGAACTTCTGTTTAGTCTTTATCGATCCATAAATTATGTTTTAACATAGTAATGCTTAGTATCTGTGTTTTGTTTATTCCAGGGCATTTGGCGTATTCCAGTAGATGAGATAGATCGCCCAGGAAGTTTTGCATCGCATATGAACCGATCCATTGTCCTCTTGCTGGAGGTGCTGTATCAGCTAAAGGATCACGACACTCTGGTGAAAGTTTCCTTTATATTGCAGAGGACCCCTGATCAGGGAAAGTAAGAAATCTTTTCGTACTTGTACATGTACTTTTGTTATAACGTTTTTCTGAATCTTTAAGCCTCTTTCATTGGCTTTTCCTTTAGGAAGTATTTACGGGATGTTGATCGCCAGGTCTTGGCCAAGAGAGCGTTTTTCCTAACAGTGAAAGTGTTGCAGGACAAACTGAACAGTCTCACAGGGGTGAGAAAGTGCACACACAGCTGTGCTGTAATTGTCTGGAATGCATACACCTCATTTTGACAGAATCTGTTCTCTCTCAGGTTTCAGAGCAGCTTCCCAAAGCGGCTGCCCCCTTTATGGGGGAGATGACCACGACTGAGTCATCCAACAAGGCCAGTTCAGAGGACGACAAACATGGCCTGCCCAAGAAGCCTCAACTCACAGCAGTATCTACAGCCCCTGAAAGTGGGCCTCGTGATGCTTCCAAAGCCTCTGATACAGGGAGGAAGACTGAGGGTGACACAGAGAAGGTGGAATCGACTAAGAACGAGACTCAGAAACAAGTCCCTGAGGAGCCCATGGATTTGGATTCTGGGCTCTGGAGAAGGACTACCAGTGGCACTGACTCCCAGGGTAACAAGACTGAGGCGGACATTCTTCTGAGCATAGCGGAGCCTCAACAGAAAGGCGCTGATAACAGTCGGGCTCCAGAGCTCTCTCTGGAGGAGCTCAGCATCAGCTCCAGGCAACAGCAGCTACAGGCCTCTGTTCCTAAAGCCACTGCTACAGTGACTCAAACGGGACTACATCGGGCCAATCGGAAAAGAAAGCTCATTTCTGATGTGGAGTCTGGAAAGACCCTCCTACTTGATGCTTACAGAGTTTGGCAGCAAGGCCAGAAGGTCATGGCCTTTGACATGGGGCACATTGAGAAGATTATGTCGGAAACGTACATGCTTATGAAACAGGTACTGCCCTCATCCACCACCACACCAACTGTTCAGCTTTGTATAAGCAGCAACATGGACATCAACAAAACGGCTAGTCACATAATAAGAGTAATATGACTCTCACTAGAAAGGCACTTTCATTTCAAAAGACTGCTACTTTACTTTACTGTGTCTGTGTTTTTTTTAATTTGGGCCATAGACATTTTCTTTTAGGTGGGGGCACATCACTTCTATGTAGTTTGCTGTCCTGGAACTTCCTGTTGATTTAGCAACCAGGTTATATTTGAAAACACTTTGTACAGTCTTTTCACAACGCATGAACCTTTTTATGGGTGCAATCATTATTATCGTTGGTGCAGTGCTGCCAACAGCTTATGAATCCATATTGAACTCCAGATCAATGTTGGCTGTACGCGTTGTCATGCTATTGCCTTTTTAATGACGGGAGGCCGGGTATTTTCACTGATGTACCCATTAAGGGGAGTAGAAGCCAGAAGCAGCTACAGTGTGTTTCCTGTCATCAAAGGCTCATGTTATTAAAACGCCAGGAATTCTTCTCGAGAGCTTTTTCTATACTACTGAGCTCAGGAACAGAGTTTATCCATTTCAGCCACATTGTGTATCTACATTAATCCTGGATTGATTTATGACAATAAGAAACAATATGACTGAATGTAATCCCACTGCTATTCTATAATCCACCACCCAAAATGTAGTTTAGGACTAGCACTAAACTGATTGTTGGTTAAATCTATGGCAAGTATCGTAATTGTGAGTTTCTTTGATCAGCTCATTTATGATTTTTTGTGTGATTATGATGCAGACTTTGCACTAGTGTCCGTCCATGCCACTGAATTGAACAGATGTGTGGAAAAGATTAGTTTTAGGCATACTATATAATATTGTATGGATTAGTTCTCTACTTCTGCACACTGTACATATCAAAGCATTACTTTTTCTTGAATCTGTCTTTGGCACGAGCTGGACTTCTCACTTGTGATATCTTTCTTCTGTGGATAATTATTTTAGTTAATCAAATATCTTTCTTACAAAGAATATTAATAGCTAAAATAATATATGTACTCTTCCTGACTTTTTTCTGACAGGTCGATGAGGATGTAGCTTTGGATCAAGCTATGAAGTTTTGCCAGATACAAATGGCAACATCTACCCAAAGACAGGTAAAGATAAACACATCAATTCTCAAACATTTTACAAAGATATTATACTTTGGCATATTTGGCCACTGACTTAATTGTTATATATTACGTCCTGGATCATGAAGCACATTTGTCTTTCTTACCAATGCTTTATCATTTGGTTAGAGGGGTTTATCCTTTCAATCTGTCTCCACTGGACCATTTTTGTAGGCCCACAACTCTTTAGACTCAACCAGGGTCAGAGAGTCCCTTATGTGACTTTCAATTAGGATTAACTTGCAAGCATTGGTTTTGAGATTATTAAATTTAGAAGTAGGTAAAACCACCCAATTTCTTGTATCATAAACATTTAACCCAATATGTGATGATAATTGGATTCAGTCTGCAATAACAAACCTTCCTTACTTATGGTCCAGTTTTGGTTCAGTCAAAGCCTTTACTCATTGTGTAAAACTCAAGTTAAATAAAAGCAATCATTAAAAACAAATTAAAATATATCAAGAGACACAAAAAGCCACTCTCTTGCAACTAGGCCATGCAATTATGGCAACATAAAACTATGGCATTTTGTACCTTTTATATTTAAAGGGCCCATATCACGGTTTTTGACTTTTCTCTGCTTTAAACATAATTACAGTGCTATTTGGCCTTCATGCACATGCCCACAGTAGTTTATTCATTGATTCTGTCAATCTTTAGTAAGAGAGCGATCTGTGTCCTTCCCCAGCGTGAGGCACAGAAACGCTCGGGTCCACTTCAGTGACAAAAACCACACTGATGACGCGTATGATGGGCATAACCCTGTTTGCTTTGTATTTAAAATAGTTTTTAAATACTTTTGTCAAAACGGGGTAAACAATACACAATTAGTATGCTGTTTTTTGTCAAAAATAATAAAAATGAAAATAAATTAAAAGCCGGCGGGAGGTGATTGACGGATCAAAACAGCGAATCAGAGCGCACAGGCTCCGGCTCCCGAGTCCAGCGTCTGTGGTCTGGTCTCGCGGACACCACATAGAGCTGCTGTTTTTATGCTTTTGTCAGCAACTAAAAGTGTTAGGATCACGTCAACTTGAATGAAGTGTGTTATGGGTGTAAATATGTGACGCACTATTTGGCCCTAAGAGGAAGAAAGCGGCTCGACTTTTTTCATCTGTTCATCTCATGGATCTATTATAATACCGGTTCATCTGCGACACTTCACTGAGACTGTTCCAGAACTACAGGGACAATGGAACTGGACTTACTCAAAAGCTGATCTGGAAACACGTTATTCCCACGGTAAAAGACGTAACTCGGACCCCCTCGATCTGTAAGTAGTGACGCAAACTCGCTGTATACTTCTGTAAACTAAATAACTAGGGTCTGATTGTGCATCGAGGACATAGGGCTCGATGTGACGGATTGTCATTGTTGGAAAAAGTTTATTCTTATGTATGAAATGATTAAGTACCGGTGATAAACGACAAGAGCGTGATGCTACGTCACCGTGCGGGCGGGGGGAGGCGGGCTCACAGGCAGAGGAGCAGACTCTTCTCTGGATCAGCTCGTTTGAGTCGAGGTGACGTCACCTTTATACAAGAGATGGCTCTAATCTCACAAGCTTTGATTGTTGTGTGGTGTATCATACACATTAATATCACACATGTGCATAGGATTGAGTGTGAAACATGAAGAAAAGCGTGATATAGGACCTTTAATGGGTTCAGAAAACAAAATATTACCAAGAGCCGTTTACAGCCACTCCTTTGCTCCAGTTCTGTTTCAAACTAAACATACCTGTTAATTGTGTTCATAAAAGGATCTACAACCTATATTTGATCAAAGCAATGTTATTTTATATTTCTAAAATAATGGAGGTCTTTTGATCACAGAAATGTCAACATAAAACTGAGGTATAGACAAATGTTCCACGAATAAGATACTAATACTGTTCTGAAAGAACACAAGAAAAGAAAACTGAAAGAATTAAATATCCATCTTTGCATTAAAGGTATATAGTAAGGTTTTCTGCTTCCAGGTGGATCATTCCTCCCAGTTGTCAATCATTCTGGTGATACATGCTCGTCAAATAACACCAGAGAGTTTTGTTCAAAAAGTAGAGAGGGCGGTTCTATCCTATAAGTTAGGAAAATCCTCCTAATATACCTTTTGAAGTACAACCTCAAACATGTCTTACAGTAATTGCTAACTCACACATTAGCAACCACCTTGGCGGGTTGAAATAAAAACAAAGGAAATTGGGCATTAGCCATATTGGTTGTTCAGTATTTAATACTTTTGCTTTTATACTTAGGTTTGTTGAATTGGCTAGATGGCCCTAAATATGCTTGCACCGGCTCTGCTTGCATGTCTGCTTGCTCTGAGGGAAAACACCCTTTGTTTTAAAGTCTGTGTGTTGTCCAACCCATATTTAATAATTCATTAGTCACATCTGATCCCATTAGGTGGCACGGTCACCGTACAGGCAACATTTGATTCTGTTTTCTTCTTAATATATTTCGTTTTGTGACTGACACTTCCTTATCCACTCGGTCGCTAAGGGTTTTTATCCTGTGTGGGTTTAATTTATTTAATTATTTTACAAATGACATTGGATCATTTCCAAAGGCACACCTACGTGCCACAGCACACCGGTTTCAAAACACTAGTTGGGTATGCGTTTGTCAATACTTATTGGAAACGCCTTTTGCTGCAATTACAGCTGCATGTGCAAATCAGCTCAAAATTAGGTTAGATGGTAATGGATTATTCATTTAATTCATTCATTAAGACCAGATTTGTGTTGTGTACGACTAAAAAAGAAAGAACCACAAGTTCTTTAAGAACAAGTTAAAGGACCACAAACTCAATGTAAGTATGTAATAGTAAGAAATCTGGGATGTGACATGCGCAATATAAATCCAAAGGTAACACAAAGCGCTTTACAATTTTTGGTGCAATATTGTCTTCCCCAAATTTACTTCAATGTGTTTTCTCAGGTACAGGACCTCCTGAGAGAAAGGGTTTTGCCCACAGTTGTCGTTGTCTTCATTAATGATGATTAATTCATGAGGGGAAATCATCAAAGCTGTGTAGCGTGCACACTTGGACTGGAGGATCTAGTGCTGTGTGTTCTTGTATGGTTTGATTTGCGTTCTGTTCATGAATTCCCGCAGGTCACCTCATCAGACTGAGAGAGGGGTTGACTACCTCCCAGCAGAGTGCTCTGAAGCGTAACAAACAATGTTGATTCTGTGTCTGTCAAAGAGCATTTACACTAATGTTTCATACAAATGGATATCTCTATTGGTACTCTGTAACAACAGGACTGTCAAGCAGAATAATTTAAAGTTTATGATTACTGGTTTTTGGTTGAATGCTGTTCAGTTGATGATAAATTCTGCTGGTGTTCACTTGATTAGAGTTTCTTAACATTTAAATATGAAAAGTCAGCAAGGATTTATTTATTTTAAATGCCCTGCTCTGTGTTGCTATGACAACGACTGTGGGTGCTGGGCGACTATTGTCACAGGTTGTTTGTGCAGCTTTTGTGTTTATAAGTGGCCCTCTAAAGGACACCCAGGAAAGCTGCTGCATTACCAGCTCACGAGGCTCTGAACCTCAGCAGCTATATCAGGGTGGGCAGCAGTGGGCTGAATGCTGCTAATTTTGTAATTGTGCAGTGGTCACGACAGGCTGTGTCTCTGCTCTGAGCTGTACCTTTTGGGACGAGGATAATCACGTCTCTGCAGTAGTGGACCTGAGTAGAGGCCATTTGTTCCCTAGCAGGACTCTAGTTAGTTAGAGAGCTGATGAACTCTTCTCCTCTGTGTCTCCCGCAGTCTTCTGTCGATGCCCCGTCCACCCCAAAGTTCACCAAGGAGCATCGAGACATTTTCTTCCCTGCGTCACTACCCACACCTATCCTGCTAAGCCACAGCGCCTGCCATCCTCTGTCCACTCCGGATCCCGCCAAAGTGCTCTATGAGCCTCTGAGCAAGCTTCCCAGGACCCCTGCTACGGGCTTCCATGAGCAGCACAGGAGAGTAGCAGGGCCCCCCATAGCACCAATGGCCTTCCTACCACACACAGGTACTTTTTACTGATTTTGTTTCCTCCTTCCTCTGGCACTGTCAATGTCTTTATTGTTCGTGGCCAGCAGGGGGCTCTGCTGGTCTTCTTGTTGTTATATAATTAACCCTTGCTGCCAGTTTTTCAAACACTGGTTTCATTTCATGTGAGTCTGCAATCACACATTTAGTCTATAACATAATTTTGTGGATATTGACATGTATCAGTAAATAACTCAAAATGTAAGTGTCTTATATATTGCATATTTTTTGCAAATATGTATAATGTGATTAAAAACATGCACAATTGGTCAGGACTATCGGAGCTGGAGGATTTGACCAAATCGTGTACCAACATCTGGGTTGGGTGTCCGGGCGCTGTACTATGGCGACTACTGCTCCTGACGGAAGCTTCAGTGGCATCAGGATGGGTCAAATGCAGAGGACAACTTTCCCTACGGGGACAATAAAGTGCACATTTCACAATACTGTTTTCTTTGTGTTAGGGCTGTTGGTTGGAAGTATTTAGTCGTCTTCTCCTTAGTTGGAAAGGGCTGGCTAGCCCCGAGCCTCCATTTTTCTTTATCTTTCATTGCGCTACAGACACCGTGGTTAAGGACTCTCTCTGTTGAGGAAAGCACACTTTAATTTTCAATTCACAGTTGCATACTTCACATTTATACTCCAAACCCCACTGTGTCTGTGTGATGATTTCCTATTAACATAATGAATATTAATTATTTTAATGTTTATAAATTAGTAAATGTAAGCTATTAGTGTTGTTTGTGCAGATGTATACCGTTTTGCATCATCTACAAATACTCAGAGCTCGTTGATAGGTCTGTGTGGCCCCAGTGTAGTTATGCTGTAAAAGTATCCCTTGGTAAATTATGAGATGATAAAGAGAGTATCTATCTTGTTCTCGTCACTGAAATACCATAAGAGCTTTGCTTATAGTTGAAGGAGCTGTTCCTGTTGGTTTAGTAAAGTCATTACAATTACAATAGTATTCAGTCACCCATTTGTTGTCAATATCCCTGCAGATCTCACACACACACACGTTGAGTGATGGTTAAGTTAGAAACCTAACCAGGTAGATTTAATAGAAACTGGTGACTCAAATGCCAGAATTATGAGAACCAAAATGTAAAAGGTTTGCATGTATGATGTGGACATGATGGCCACAATTTATGTTAAACAATTATTATTATTATTGTTTGGTCTTTACAAGTATCTGTAATAGGTCATCATAAACCATGCTTACACATAATGGTTTTATTGTTACATATTGTCTTTTTCTATACTAATAAAGGAGCACTTTATTGTGAAAAGGACTTATTATAAACACATTGTGTAGCAGAAGTGAGAGAGGAGCACTCTGAGGGACTCGGATACCGACAGCAGGAGTCTCATCTCTGTCAGCAGATGAAACTGGCCTCGGTGTCACCGGGACAGAACTTTGCAGCGCCCACAACCACGGCCTGGTTCAGTGAGGAGACGCCCACATGTAGCACCGCACAACTTTGTACAGGTGAGAAAGGACATGCATAATATAGGCAGCAATCTAATGTGTAAGTACCAGGTTTACATTTGGTCCAATCACAGTTCATATTTATTGGTCGCACCAGGAAAATATATATGAACTCTATGGCAGGACGTTCACCACTGTGTATTACTGAAAGTTGGAAAAGTGGCTGATTGAAGCAAAGCATAGGGGTGACAGTCTACAGGAAGAAAATCACAGCTCATCAGCGCTGCAAGTGAACATAGGTCATTGACTATACATTTAATCTGTGGAACTTTACAGGGAAAAGTTATAGGGTAGTGTTTTCATAGGTGTATGTTTGGGACAACCTCAGGGCCCATTTACTCACTTCTTTTTTTTTTTTTTTCATGAATCTGCAATATTTTTGAATCAGATTGGACTTATCACACTAACAGTCTGCTGTAGGTTCTCTGAATCTTCACTGCCCTGACAACCGTGGAAGTGGTTGTGGTTTTGGGGCTCACAAATGGACAACAAACTGGTTTTATTACAGAGAGAGGAGTTCAGATGTTAGGTGCAGGTAGCAACAGGCCCCCAAACATTTATGTTCATTCAACACACTGTCTTGCACAAACACATCAGAAACCATTCACTGTACAGTTGTCTCAAAGTTCTAAACAAACATGCTGCTACTTCGACAGTGCATTAGGAAGCACCACAGTTCCATTTGTTGGGTTTTAGCTTTCTTTAGAACGTATTATTATTTGCGGTTTTCTTTTATTCAAAATGATGTTCTGGAGTGAACCTGTGCTTCTTTGCAGTCAGTATGTTTCTCTAATTGTATTCAACCTGCTTAAAATATGTGAAGTGAACTATGGATATGATATTTTTATGATATTATTTGCCGTTGCATTAAACCTGAGCTAGTCATTACACCATTACGCCAATGTCAGTGATTTTCCATTTCATGTTATTATTATCTGAAGGTTACTCATTGGCAAATCATTAGGGGAACTTCTGTATTTTGCATGGGTTTTAATACGTATCTTGTGCTGAGACGTGATCAGTACACCCCAGACCTCCGCATAATTTGTCATGTCCTTCAGAACCATACCAATCCATAGTGCCTGAAGAGACCTACTCGAACACATACGGGTGAAAACAAAACTATCTCTGCATGTTGATCTTGTGATTGTCAATTTCTAGTTAAATCTACATTATATATGAGACCTTGTTACGTGGTGTAGTCACTGAAGAAATGGAGACCAAAGTATAAGGTTTTTCAGTCAGGGAAGGAGGCAGAAAGTTGGAAAGCATCAGCAGATAAAATGTTATTTGACGCTGACCTAGTTGGAAAGCATTTTTAGATAATTTACTCTATGATTTGACGTTGATGTGTTGATTCCAATTCTGTCTGGCTCTTTCCCCGTCTTTAGACCAGCAGCAGTATGCCAGCATTGAGCCGTCAAAGCTTCCAGACCCAAGCCGAATCCGCTCCCGTGCGCCCCCCAATATGCCAAAGCTCTTCATACCCTCAGCAGTCGCAAAGTTCCCCCCAGAGATCACAGTAACACCCCCAACACCCACCCTGCTCTCCCCCAAAGGCAGCATCTCAGAGGAAACCAAACTAAAACTCAAGGTAAGGGCTGTATGAGAAGCATGCATGAATACAAACCATAGTTTTAGGAAACTGAATAGCATTCAGAATACCATATTACTGGTGTGTATGTTATGGTGTACAAGAAAAGAGGTAATTCCCAGATGGTTGCTGTTTACAAAGACTAAAACAGAAACTCGTTTATTTTTGCTTTGATCCTGCTGGAGCTTTCTGAACCATATTATATCTATTAGCATACGCAACTCTGTAAAATTTTAGGATACGGTGAGACCCCAGCAGATGTCGTGCAAGAGCTAAGCATAAGGAAATTCAATTTGTGACATGGGCATAAAATTCTGATTCTGAAGTTATGAGCCCATGATATGGAGACCTGTCCCACTGTCATGACAACAGGAAGGGGGAGGAGGAGGGTTGTGGCTCGAGCTGAGCAGTTAGATGCAGATTGGATGCTTGGATTTCTATTCATTTCTATGTTTTTATTTAGCTTTTCAAACATTGTTATAATTCCTGGAGTCAAGCGGAGTCCATTAACAAAAAAGACAATACTTTACTAAATTAAAAACAAATGATGAAGACATTAAAAAGATGATTGCTAATAGCAGTGTGTAGTGAGGTGAAGGTTGGTGAGAAAAACGGAGCACACCAGACTTCCTATTGGAACTTTCACTTTAGCGTCAAGATTTTTTTGTGAACTCATGTTCGGTGGGTGGTGCTTTTTTCCAGGAATTTGCAGAAATACCTGTAGCTTTAATTGTGTATTTAAATGCATAACATCCCAAATTACCTCCCCAAGACTTAATATTGGCCTCTTGCTGTTTGCTCTTAAACAGAATGTGATTTTGGCGTCTCAGTCGGCGGCCACGGTGAAGAAGGACACTCTGACCCAGCCCGTGCTCGAGGTGCAGGAGACGTCGAGCCAAGAGTCGTCCCAGGAGAGCGAGTCCGAGGAGGAGGAGGAGGAGGAGGACGACGACGACATGGACATAATAGCCCCACCGTAACGCACACTGGACTAAACCATTTACACCTATGGCCCTTTTCAACTGTTGCCATATAACGGTGTATTTTTGCAGAATCACTTTTTTTTGCCTTTTTTCTGTGTTTTCCCAATCTTAATGTCAAATCATCAACCACTTCAAGGCTTACAATGTCGCCTACATAGTTATCACGGCTACTTCTTTACATGCACTTGGGGCTTGCACAAGGATTACTCCGGGTAGTCACCCCCTTGGTCAGGACATTTAACTCATTTGGTGCCTCTATTGACTTTGACGCAGCATGGACCTTCCTTATCTCTTTGACTCTTTACTTTCAGCATGAAATGTTTTTCTCCTAATATTTTTCAGTCAGCAGAGATGATATAAGAACTGAATTTTGGGTGTATCTGTGAAACGCTCAGAGCACTCTTCGACCTGTAGCAAATTGGAAATGTTTACATTCTGTTTTTGGGTCCGCACTTGAGCTTTGGCTGTTTTTGTACTCCACTGTAATTCTTGTATTGTTTTCCATCATTTGTGTGCATTTGTAGCTGCAAGAGTCTTTTCCAGGTTTGAGTCTTGTCACCAGCACTGATCTGAATGATTATGGTAACTTGAGTTTGTGCATATCATTCTCCAATAGTTTTCTACTCTGTTGTACTGAGAGGTGTGCATGTGTGTCATCATCTTTTCTTCTGATGCTGTCTCTCCTCGGTTCATACGAATTGACTGAAAGTGCATGTTCCAAATACTGATGCGTTCCGAGGGAATCTGTCTCTCTAAAACTCTGCAAAGACAGCGGAATGTTTTTTTACGGATTTGTTTTGTATAAACAGAAAGATATTTCTTCACAATGTTTTTGAGAGGCTGATTAAACAATTTTTCTAAAAGAAAAGAGCACAGATTGACGATTGTAAAGTATGACCATTGATATGTCATTATTTTTCTTGTATTATAGTTTTCTATTATTGCTGAGCTGGGATTGTGTAACCGGGTGGACCTCAGCTGGAGGGGAATTGTTCTGTGTCAACTTAATGCGTAATAGATGTCAAACCAAATATATATATATGAGAAACAAGTTTTCTGTGTGCTGAATTTATCAAAATATAGAAATGGTTCATTAGATGTAGTACTATACTACTCAAAAATAATTCATGGATGTGTGATGGCAGGAAGACCTAATTAAAATGTTGGCCACTTGTTATTTTTTTCATTTTACAATTTAAGTTTAAAACAAAACTCTTTTCCAAACCCATGCCTGAAGCTGCCTAAAGACACAGCCAAGACTCAAGTTCTTTATTGTTGTTAACTGTTTACCACAAAAACCTGCACTGGGAGAGAAAAAACCCTTGAAGCCATAATGGGGACATGTTGTTGACATGGAGACCGGTGCTGCTACTACAATGTGTAGGAGTGTTGTTGTTTGGCATCTGGGTTGTAAAATCCTACTGTAATGCTTCCTTATTAATGTATTCAGTTACGGCAATACATGTGAAACTCGAATATTGTTCAAAAGTAAAATTCATTTTTTTGAGGATCTTGGGGTTTTTTACAAGCTTTGAGCCATATGGACTTTTGAACAATATTCTATTTTTCCTCTCGAGTTTCACCTGTTTTAAAGCAATAACAAAAGGGTATACCATTCAGTTTCATATAAGTGGCAGCAGTAGTTATTTGACTCTAGCATTTTATATTTATATATTTAACTCTGTTTGTTCCATCCGTGTTGTAGACCACACTGGCTCTGTGCTCAAAGGCCTCGTCCCTCGGTGTGAAGTCTGTGACACCAGGGAAGTCATTAGTCTTCATTAGCCACTTCCAGGAGGTTCTTATGAAGTGCTGTGAAGTCGTCATCCGCCTCTTTGCCGTTCAAGCTCAACATAGAGGTTTGTTTTCCTAAGCAGGCGGCTGAACCAAATGTGTGCACACCCCTGTCACATGTGCGAGCACTGCCACTCCGGCTTAAAGACACTCAAAATACACTAGCATCATTTGTAAATCACTTTAGCCTCAAAGTAATATTCACACTTACTGCAGATCAGGAAACATGGCTGCCCTTGTTCTTGGCTGATTTTACAGTTACTGTATATTGCTCGACTCGATCACAGGCTCATGAGGCAGAAGGACTATAAATTAAGCTTTATATTTTGTATTTAGGAATTTTCAGAATCAGAACTCTTTTTTTATTGCCATTGTAAGTAACGGGAAGCCAAAAACTAGGAATTTGCTTTGACATGGTGCAAATAAATTTATGAAAAAGTCCATCATAAAAGAAATCTGACATATAAATACCCATCAAAATATCTGTGAAACACACAAAAAAGGAAATTAGGATTCAGGAGAGCCTTTATCAATAGGCTTTCTTATGAAACATGTTGATGCGTAGCACCCAAAGACATGTACACGAACGTTAGAAGCGGCCCATAATGCATCAGAAGAGCTCGATGTATGGTTAATGTGGACGATAGGTGTGAGATTTCTCGTCAGTCCACTCCAGGCGCTCTTTACGGGGCTGCTGCGAGCCGTCTGATCCCTGGCTGTATATTGGCAGCTGTTAACTGTTGTGCACTTAAGCAAATGGCCACAGACACTGACACCTGGGAGCGAGGGACAGCGCTGCCCAAGGTGAAGTGTGGAAGGCACACTCATGTCACCAGGGCTCAAATTTTTCAAACAGTAGTAAAACCTGGGGACATATGAACGTAATAATGCAAACACTATGTAAAAGAATAGACTTTTAGACCCTCTCACTTTGTGTATCTGGTGTGCAGTCTTATTCTAGTTGTCTATTGTATTTGAATAATTTAAGTTTTGTGCTGCAGCGTACCTTCCATGTGAGAGGTCGCCTACAATAATAGTCTTATCCTGTGTCCCGGATACATTTTTTGCTCCACCCTCTTAAGATTTTGCACTTCCGTTAAATGTGCAGGGCATAACAAATGTGAGTAGAGCATTCTTTTTTTAATCAATTTTTGTAATTTGCAGATTTGAATTAAAAAAAAAACAGTATTAAAATGTTATAATGTTTTTAAATTATGTAAGGGGAATTTGCTTAATATTTTAGGTTTCCCCAGGTCTCCTTCTCCCTGTAGTTAAAGCCATTTTGGTTTGGCCCCAGGCTCTGTTACATAAGAGCCCTGTGTGCTGAGGCACCTGTCACCTCTGGGACCAGTGCATAATGGGATTGACACTGCTGCTGCTGGAACGTACACCTTCACTGTGACTCTCCAATTCATGTCAAGTTTATTATCCAATCCACTGTTTCCCATAGCCTACAGTCTATTACATATATATATATATATATATATATATATATATATATATATATATATATATATATTTGTTTTTTAACTAAAATCTCAAACTGTTTCACATGTCTGACCAAGACGGCTCTCACGACTCAAACCTGCAGAGAAGTTCATGTAAAAACAAATATATATGCAGAGAGGGACAAGGAAACGATATATTTGTATGCTAATAAAGGCCCAATAAACATCTTTCCCTCCCAAATGATCAGCTAATGCCTTCTCCTCCTCTGCTGCTGCCCGCCAGGCCCTTTGTGCTGCTACTGTTGACTCATCCATTTAAAAGTCTATTTTTAAACTACACACGGCAAATAATGATAAAATATGAGGGATCAATTGCTTGATTGTTTTTCTCTTGAATTGAGTACATTCTTACCGTCTTAAAACAAGATTTGCCAATGAGCCATTTAGTCTCATTTCCTCAACTTTAGCTTTATTTTCTCATTCAAACGAGACATTTATTGAATCTTTCTTAAAACAAGATCATTTTGCGTGTCCCATTGTCAATATTGTTTTGAGGCAGTAAAAATATCTCAAGAAGAGATATTTTGCCAAATTTGAGTTTCTGATATATTTTCTTTCACTTTTTGTAGTGTAGATGAAAAGTTGAAATGTTTTTATAGTTTTTAATCATTTTTTATTTATTTCCTGTGCCAACGCTTTTTCAGCTACGCATTAAGTGACAGAATCCACGCTGAAGCTGTGATTCATAACTCCATGGCAACAGTTGCTTCTCATAGTTCCAACACTTGTTCAAGGCCAAAGTTTTGTGTTTTTCAATCGACTCTCAGAAAATCCAGCTCTGGATTAAAACGCTGCTTGGCCATAAACGCCGTCTTTAAGTGCACCATTATGTCAGTGTTACAATGCTTTTTGTTGTACATCGACGGAGCATTTTAAACCAGTCAATACTTTTTCACAGACCTCTTCACAAAGGACTGCTGATGCCTGCTTCAGCATCTGCTTCAAATGTAGCAACAATAGACCCCAAAAGAACCTATTGGATATAAACATGTGTATAAGAATCTGTTTCACAAATAGATGAATGGATTTGATTACTTGCCTTTTACACCATATTCTACTGTAGGAACTATGTTATTTTTACGTTATTTCTAAGATTTCCACTAATACTAGTATTGATTCTATGTGTAATAGAATTGTCAGGGATGAAGCAGACAGACGGAGGCCATATTGCTATCTAATACTAACAGAATCTACACAACAAACAAATAATAGAGTGGATTCAGTTTCTGTTTTACCCAATAAGAACAATATATAACTTGTATACCGTAGTCTGACAGACTCTTTGTACTGTATTCATGCATACAATGGCACATGTATACAGAGCTTTGATGTGGCTGGATAAGACAGGAGAGAGTGCGTTTCCTCAGAGATACTTTTTAATCCCCCCGCTAATGCCTGTAGTGGTGTTTGTTCAAACATAGATCAGACCTAGATGAGGGCAGAGCGCTCGGCCCCCCTCTCGGCCCCATGAAGGCATACTTGGCCCTGTGGTGCTAACTGGCTGTTAATTGCTCTTTTACACAGGACTTTCTCCACTTGCAGAAACCAGCTTCTTCAAGGGAAACTGGCTTAATGAGATTATCTATCAGAGAAGTGGTCTGTCTAGACAACCAATACACAAGCTCTGTGTCCCCTGTAGCTCTGCTCTGGTCCCGGGCCCTCAGGTGAAAGTTACCTGCAGATATACACTGCATGTTATCATTAGACCATCATGGTTTTATTGAGCCTCTCGCCCCCTGCCGGTTCTTCAATGCAGGGAGTATGTGCTCTTCATACCGTAAATCTCCTAACTATTTTCAATTGTCTGCTGTGTGTGTGTCTGACTTAGGAAAGTGGATGTCTATCTTTGTTGAAGTTGTTGGATTATTAAGACAGTACAAAATAAAAAGCAAATATAAAAAAAAAAACTATGGAACAAATATAATCTGTAAAGCTTTCAAGTCCATCTCAGTGAATTAAATGTGGTAGAAATGTAAATAATAAATTTGAACCCATTTCAACATCACAATGCTTTGTAATTCAAACTCTGATTGTTGTGGATCAAAGACAATAATGGTCTATAAATATCAGCATCATTGCTTATATTATTTTGCTACCAATTTCATCTTTAGGACCATTATTTTCTTAAAGACGAAACATCACTGAGTTGATAATGTGTTTACATGTGTGCACGTGCTTGAAGTGAAAGCGTGATTGCACATAGACACTAAAGGCTCCAGGTTTGGTGAAGCTTGTGTGTCAATGGTAAGCACACACACACAGTGGAGACGCTGAGGGCACTCGTCAGCTCTGCATCAGGGAAGTGCATGGTCCATATTTGTTTTTAAAGTCTCTTAGCAGTTAATAAACATGCATTTCCTCCAGTTGGTCCTTCCTGTTAGGACGGTATCAAGGCTCTGTTAAGTCCCTTTGATTTCCAGTGCCACCAATCACAGTTGGGGACCGGCTCATCAATGTGCCACTTCAAAGCCTGGGAATGGCTCTTATGGCCCCGCCCACTTTGGGAGTCCCCTTAAAAGACCTAGTCACCCCATCCTCGAGGACCTCTGACACAAGTGCAACCAACACAGTCTGGACAACGTCTGCCCGCCCTTAGCGTTTGGATATTCACATCTTCAACCAGAAAACAAGAGCACAACTTTTGGATATACTGGGATCTTGTCACTGAGAGTCCTCTGCATGGCCTTCTTCACATTCTGATGAACTTTTTGGAAAATGCAGCCAATTAGAGGTAGGTCGGATTGCACTTCTCACTTTCTGAAACATGTTTTAATCTAACGGATGCGTCTCCATTTAGACCTAAAGCCCAACTTCAGCGGGCCACCTCCGTCCTCCATGGCTGCTGCTCCTGATGGCTACCTCCAAGGCAACATCCGCATGACCCTGAAGGACGCTGAGCTCTGGAAGTCCTTTCATGAGATAGGGACCGAGATGATCATCACTAAGCCCGGCAGGTGAGATCACACTGCTCCAGAGTGTGCTATTGTGTGGCTATGTGTGGTGTTTGTTGGATAAATGTGAGACTTTCTTTGGTTTGTCTCATACATTTGTGTATTTTTTATGTTTAATGTCTTCATTTGTGCAGGAGGATGTTTCCGCATTGCAAAGTCGACATTTCCGGCCTTATCCCATGTGCCAAATACATCCTACTGGTCGACATGGTTCCTGAGGATGGATCCAGATACAAAGTAAGACACTGTCACAAACATGATAGTCTGTAGATCAAACTGGTTTTAAAATATGGTCTTAAAATGATCTTATTGATGTAACCGAATTAATCATGAAATATCACAGTGCTTTCTCCCTGTTTTGTGTTTATTATAACACTACAGTTCAATGTTACATGAAAATACTGCTGTTTTTCAGTGCATTTTAATTTTATTATTATTATTTTATTATCAGTCTCTTGTTTTTACTTTAGTTTTTGTTGCTATTCAAATATAAATATACATCATTATGTATTTCTATATTCAATATTTCTATTTAACACTAGTTTATGCCATTACATATGTATACATGTATAAAAAATCTGTATGCCCCTTGGTGGCTTTAAAATTGACCAAAACTATTGTCTAACCATCTCTCAACACTAAAAAGATAATTGAATAAAACATATTAAGGCGACAAAGAAAAGCTTTTTGAAAAGTGTCAAAAAATATTAGTTTTGTGTTATAAAGTCATTTGATTTTGTCTTTTTCAAATGAACGAGTCGTACCCCACTTGGTTAATGAGTGCCCCCCCACCCCCCCCGACAGCGGACATCAAAGGGGTGCTATCTCTTCCTGTTTTTCTATCCCCTGCTGGGAGCCCACTATCTCTGTGGGAGACCCGGGCCGAGCGTCAGCCTCAGCTCTGCCCTGTCTACTGCAGAGTCATCGTGGGAATCCGCAGACATCACTGTTTCCCCCAAAGTCAGATTAGCCTAATGATGTCCAACCGTGTGCTTCCTCCAGTGGAATAAAGATAAGTGGGAGGTGGCAGGCAAAGCGGAGCCCCAGCCGCCCTGCAGGACCTACCTCCACCCCGACTCCCCGGCCTCTGGGAGCCACTGGATGAAGCAGCCGGTGTCCTTCCTGAAGCTGAAGCTGACCAACAACACGCTGGACCAGCACGGACACGTGAGGCTTTACTCTGGCTTTCTATGTCTGCTTTTCACATTTCAAAAGTTAGTCATTTCTGATCAAAAATACAACAAGCTACACAATAATGTGGAGCAATTTTTTTTTCTCCATGAATTCAATTCTCTTTCCAGCAGCAGCCCATATTTCACAGGAATTGTTTTATTGGTAAATTGTTGGTTCTGATTTTTCAATAAATCAATAAGTGTTATAGTGATCCCAGAGTATTGGTCAGTATAATGTATACACACAGTTATGTTGTTGCTATTCAGTTCTAACAGAGTATTTGAAATGTGAAATGACTTATAAATGACTGATAAAGTGTGAGTCCAACACAGACTTTGTGTTTGTTCTTTAGATTATTCTCCACTCCATGCACCGCTACTACCCTCGCTTCCACATCGTCCAGGCCGATGACCTCTTCAGTGTTCGCTGGAGCGTGTTCCAGACCTTCACGTTCGCCGAGACTTCCTTCACCGCAGTCACCGCCTACCAGAACACCAGGGTTCGACCAATCACCACCTCCGCTCGTACCACCTCCTCCACGTCTGAGTTTAATCATACTTTTGTCTGCGCAGATCACCAAGCTCAAGATTGACCACAACCCATTCGCCAAAGGATTCAGAGACGAAGGAACCAACAAGAAAAGGTGCGTGGTGTAACTATTCTAGAGAACGCTGCAGTTAAACGAAGCTGGTTTGAGTAGATTTGATGTTCAATAAACAGGATCTTAAAGCTGCGGTACCTAACTTTCAAATCACAAATAAATCCTAAAAAACTTCCACACAGACAAAACCGATTGATTCTATCACTAGTTTTCACATGTATGTATTGTTTGGCACAATACCACATCTTTAAATCAGCTTTTTCACACAGAAAATTGAAAAAGGGAACTAAAGCATCAAATTGTGACTCACGGGGAAAAGTCGACATGTTTCTAATTATACAAAGACGTTCACTATGTTTTAATTTTAACTGTTCTTAAATGTAAATGTTTCATTGATATATAACGTGACCTTGAGTGTCAAGAAAGGCGCATAAGAAATATAATGTATTATCATTACTATTATAACGTTTAAGATTCTTTCTGTTTAGAAATAGAAACATGATGCTAGATGTGCCAATGGTCTGAGCATAAATATCTTGTTCTTAAAGAAAATGTATATTTTTCATTTAGAAAATACAACTAAATCCATTTGTCTCATTGGCAAATTTTTATTTTAAGACTCCATTCCAGCAAGATTAAGTTTATTTGTCAATCATCTTTTGGGGAAGTCAAACTAAAATAATTAACAAAACCAAACGTGTGTCTTTAGACGCTCCAACAAGAGCCCCGGGAGCGCGGAGAAGAAATCCAAGTCCTCTGAAGTATCGGCCCGAGACTCTGAAGACGACAGTCCACAAGGTAAAACACAAACATATGAATGTGCTGTGCTCGTCGTTTCTCATGATGGCTTTGTCCTCTCAGACTTCTGCAGACAGTCCTTTGAAGGTTTCGATGGGGACGAGGTGGACAAAAGGAAGGAGCCTGTGAAGGAGAAGACTTACTCCCCCTGGGGCAGGACAGAGTCCCCCAACGGGACAGAGGCCCGGGACATGTATAATGCAGAGCAGCTGGTGCCCACTCCGGCCTCCTACCAGCCCTACAGGTGACTACACTGCTGCATCACAAAGGAGGGAGCCGCTGGACTGTGCTTAGGACGGGGAAGGACGAAAGGGGATTTAGAACGGGAACTGTGTCAGGAACCACTCTCAACATGACACCGAGCCACTGCTCAAATATGATTACAGCTTTTAATGTGAAATACTTTTTACATAATTTGGACATTTTTTCAAAAATATGGTTTTCATAATATTTGTTTATTTGTGCTATTGATAATTATGACAATAATGCTAAATGCTCTTTCTTATTCTATTCTGAAAGGCAACATTATGAGCAAAACTCCAACAGACTCCACAACAATAATTAAAAAGACAGATAATGTTTGTCTTTTTAAGTTATTTTTTGTTTTTTTACTTCAAATTTTCACTAGATCTGGATGTTTGCCCAATTTTATTTTCAATCATTCAAATGTATTCATATAACTCACGGATTTTATCCAAGAAAATGGTTCTTCCCCCTTTGTTTTTTTGAAGTCGTTTATTGTTATTTATAATCAGCTTTTTGCTTATGTCCATTTAGCGCTCTCTTTGTGTAAGTGTGCGTGTGTATGTGTATGTATGTGTGCGTGATGTGTGCGTGTGTATGTATGTGTGTGCGTGCGTGTGTGTGGTGATCCTTACTTGGACAATTGACCTAAAATAGGGGAAAGAAAGACGTTATAAGATTTATTTTAAAACAAATATTTAATTGTTTGACACCATTACCACCACCCACTCCTGTAATTAGGTATAAATTGAAGTTAAATCATATCTATGGTTGTTCCCTCACATATTGTGTTGCAACTCTGTCAAATCTTCCTTAAACTTTTTTTTCCAGTGTAATATGCGTTTTCACTTCAGCTCCTTTTCTTTCCTCCAGGTTCAACGAGTATCCCGGCAAGTCCCCGTCCCCCCCGTCCTCTGCCAGTCGGAGCAGTGCTATCTCGGGCCGCTTCGAGCCCAGAGTCCCGGACCTGGCCACAGTCCCAGACCACAACTCCTCCAAGGCCACGAGGCCCCAGGACATGGCTGCTTCCTCGTCGTCCTGCGCCCCTCAGAACCTGCCCCAGGACCTCACAGGGGTCATCAACATGAGCGTGGGTCAAACTGGTAAGCCCTCCATGATCGGACACCCCATCTACAGCCCTTACCCGCCGGCCGAGCAGCCTCTGGGCCAGTGGAGCAACACGCCGCCCACTCAGTACCCCGCGGCCCACCACCTCTCAACGGACTACCCCAGTCAGGCGGTGCACCCTGGGTATCACCATAACAACGTGGCCGAATGGAGCCAGTACCCGCTCTTCTCTTACTCGTGCTGGTGAACGGACTGATGCAAACGGACTGATTTTACTGATGCAAACTCAGTACTAGTGCGATATGATTGTCTTTTAAATGTGGTCTATTTATTTAGTGTTTCAGCGCAACTTCATGTGTAAATATTATTTCTTTAAAAAAATAAGTGTGCAATTTTTCTGTGTACAACCTGTGATGTGATTTGAAGATAAATAAAATTATTAAAACCCAATTTCTAGTCCATTTGTGAAGTTATCCCCAGGCAGCCCCATTCAAATGGCATTGATCCATACATACAGCTTACATGGATGGAGCTAAATTACTTTCATAAGCCTTAAATGCATTGTGTTGAACAAATATTATTGATATAAAGCTGGAAACACTAACTTTTTATTCAAAACATGTTTTTCTCAACAGAAAGAGTCTAGACATGTGTAAAAACGGATTCATTTTACTTTAAAAGATCTTTTATGAGACTTTTTGTGCAATTATAGTAAATATTATTGAAAATATGATCTTGTCATTAGAACAGTCTGCAGGAGTCGATACTTTTCCACTTGATGTTTTGGTTCATGAACGGTTAAAGCAAACTTGTCTATGGTGTATGCTGAGGGGAGCTACCGTGTTTTTCACTTGGTATAAAACCATGTGAACGCGGTGAAAACTCTTTTGGGTCTTTTATAACACAAGAACTGTGGTCACAAGGCAGTGATGTTCCACTTCATGTTTTTGTTATCTGAAGGCCGGAGCTAACATATCTCTTGGTGCCGTCGCACATGCTCAGAGGATGATTCCTCCATGGTGTAAAATCACATGTAAGATCTGTTTTTGTGTCATTTTAACATCAATAAAACATGTCTTCAGCTGTGACACATATTCAAATCACAGCAGATTAGAATATCAGTAATAGAAATGACAAAGTTAATACATACATTTATCTTGTCATATCCTCACAATCAACAGTAAGTAATAGTGTTGTCATGAGTCCAGCATACACAAAAACCCAAATAAGCTTTTCTCTGGGATCACATTGTTAAGTTAAGAGATGCTTTATTTGTTCCTCAGTAGGGAAATTGAAATGTCAGATTCAGATTTTCAGATTCAGATTCATTTATTTGCCATTTGCAGTAAAACCAGTGTTAGTATTAGATAGCAATATGGCCTACGTGCAGGACTGTACAAGGACTCCATGTTATGACTATGATGTGACTGTCTCTTTGTGACACGTATGTCTTTCGATGTGTGACGTGACAATGACTATATAAACTGTGTACTGCCTTTATTCTGTCTGAGAGAAAGAAACAGAGTAAAACAGTGGAACTTGAGAGAAACTTAAATAAACTTCCAGAGTTTGGCACACCACGATCCGTCTCTGTCTGCTGAATCCTTACAGATTTGGTGGAGAATGCGCGGCTCGGTTTGTGCCATTCTCTGGATTGTTTTGAGGGAGTTGCTCTGTTTCTTTTCCTCTGCGTGAGAGATCGGCATGCTGCGTCTGGGAGCGGAGATTCCAGCAGGCTGGAAGAGCTGTTCCTGGATGCTTCTTGTCGCTTCTGTCACTTTTGTTTTTTAAATTGAATTTTTCGACGCGGAAAAGATGTTGGTCGACCTCTCGAACAGTCCGGACAAAGAATTAAGGTAAGCAGACACCTTTTTTAATATGTAAAGTCTGCATAATTGGATACTAGCTAAATTTTGAGCTGTCCCGGAGGTCTGTCCAACTCTCTCTAAATCAAATTTTCTTTGTTTTGTCTCTGTCACGTCTTTGTCATGTCTTATGTTGTAGAAAACAGGTTAGCTGTGTGGGTAACCAGTCCCTATAGGAAAAAGGAACCCCTGACGTATCGGGGTCCCTGTCCTTTGAAGTAGTCAGGACAGAGAGAAAAAAAGGAACCCCTGACGTATCGGGGTCCCTGTCCTTTGAAGTAGTCAGGACAGAGAGAAAGGAACCCCTGACGTATCGGGGTCCCTGTCCTTTGAAGTAGTCAGGACAGAGAGAAAAAGGAACCCCTGACGTATCGGGGTCCCTGCCTTTGGAGTAGCCGGGGCAGAGAATAGAGAATAGAAAATAGTTAGTGAAACCATGGTGTAATAATAAAAGCAATAAAAAGGGAAACGTGTTAAGGAGGCCTTTGTTACAAAAGCTTTGAAATTGACGAATTTCAGGCTGATAAATGACAAAAGTACATAAGCAACAATATTTCAGTGATCACGGTTTAAATTACATACAGAAAAAAGGAGTTTTTGTTTTCGGCGTGAACAGAGTTCACCGGAGAATGCAGAGTTTTATCTAAAGTTGAGCTATGAGAGCTTTCGTGAGTTATTTACATTTTTTTGCCGAGTTTTATCTACAGTTGAGCTATGAGAGGGCTGTATCCAACAGTTGTTTTTGTTTTTTAGAAAGAGATTTTGAGTTTAAATTAGTTTGCTACCTCGATAAAATAGAAGCGTAAACGTTAAAGACAAGAGTGCCTTTTGTTACAAGTGTGGAAAGTGATCATTTCTAGACTTGGATGACAAAAGTATAAACTACAAGTTATATTTGCTTAACAAAGTAATCTTGAAAGTTATTCTTCTTTCTGTTTTAGCATTTCTTGCTAAAACACTACTTTCTGCCTGTGTGTGTGCGTGTCTGTGTGAAAGGAACCCCCCCCGCCCTCCTGCTGCTGCTGCTGCTGCTCTGATTTAAAGGGGAGCTACTGCTTTTAGGAATTTGGCTTTTCATAGTTTTTATTCCGTTAAATTTGCTAAATTTGCCATTTGAACATTGTGTTAGACACAGTTAAACGTTTTTAAACACCATTAGTGAGTAAGTTTTGAATATTATATGTTTTTTGAAACCCAAATATTAGTGCTAAAAGCTGTGCAATTCTTTTTAGACCTAACATATTTCTAGATTCCATTCTTTTAAATCTGCTGCTTATTTTGTGAGTCCATTATTGTATCTGATATTTCATAGCTGTTAGTGAGAATTTTTTTATGTTTTTATTTTAGTTACAAAAGCCGTTTTTCAAAACATTTAAATTAGAATCCGTGTTAAAAGTGATTATTGATTATAGACTTCGTCTAAAAAGAAAGAGAGAATTAGGCTGTAAAAGTATTATATTATTAAGTTAAACTACCCAATTCACCCAATTCACATTCAAGCGGTGACTTTTGTTTTTGTTTTGACTACACGCGTGACCTTGCTGCTGCTCAGAGACATGAGGAGGCAGCTCCGACGCACAATTGAGTTTTATTGAACCAAATCCAGTGTAGCTGGAGCTAAATCTTTTGTTTGATTTCAAGTTTTGTTTTAAATGTTTTTACAAATTAATGTTCATTTTTATAGAGATTTTTCATAATTTCATTTCATGGCGTCTTTCAAGAAACCCAAGGACGCATAGATAATTAATCACACAGTACAAAAGTATATAATACATGTTTTAAAGTTTAAAAGGTTGTTTGTTTTGAGTATAATTGTTGTTTTGATAACTTCTTTAGTTTCTGGTCTTAAAAATGTCATCATTAGTAAGATAATAAGTAATCTCAAAATTGTTTTGACTTTAGGGAGAAAAACAATCTCATTCACATACTGATACTGTATCTGTTGTTTTTAAATTGGCCGTGTCAAGGATTGTTTTTCAGACTCTGCCTCACTGTACGAGAGGTCACTGCTGGACACTGGACAGCGCAAAGCCCACCCAGCCACAGGCCACAGAGCTAAGAGCAAAGGGCAACAATGCCACCTCTACGCCCCTCCCCCCACTACAGAAGTAAGTGGGAGTGAGACCGGGGCCACAAAGTGGAGGTTTCTGGAGGCAGTGATGGGTGGAGCATCAGGGAGAGACCTGAATGAGAGTTGAGAGTGTGTCCAGTTGGTTTGCATCACCACAGTGTGACCTTTGACACCTACAGGTGGTTCGTGGAGTCTTGAGAAACAACCCCAAAATTCACACACACACACATACATCTACACACACACATTCACATTTACATATAGATACATGAAAAAGCAGAACATGAAAAAAGCATTTTAAAAGTTTACTCCAATGTAAACACATTTTTAATTGTCTATCACTTGAATCTTTAGTTGAATCAGTATTTTTTGGGACCAGAAATGTTCATTTGAATTCTATATTGTCATGGACTAATTGACCTCTGTCCTGACACTTTTGATTTGTTGATTTTGTACTGTGTGAAGTAATTACATTGATTAGAATTAGATCTGATAAAAACACAAATTAGAGAAGTAAACTGCGCTTGCTTTTGTCTGAGAGACATTAGCAACAGCATGAATAGAAATTGTGTTAAAGTAGAATCAAAGTGACTTAACCATAGAGAGTAACTATTGCATAACAAGCTGTGTACAGGAACTGTGACACTGCACCATTGACCAGAAGTGCATCGCAAATGACCTGATGTGCTTCAAGTGAAAAGACTGTATCTGGAGATCTGATGTCCAACTGGAGAGACCAGAACCATGGCTTGGACCCTACTGATGTCCAAGATGACCTGACCTGATGACGACTGAGACACCCTCAGAGGACCTGAGGATCTGAGGACCTGAGAGAAAAAACTGGGGAGTGATGTTTATATATTTTTGAAATCATACATTGATGAGTGCTAAATGAGAGAGATACTCATGATTCTTTCTTTTGTTTTTGTTTGTCCCTAGCTTCTGGACATCTGATGATCTATTGGACACAGCCATTTGCAGAACAAGAACCAGCCAATGAAAACGTCTATTGCTGATGCTATTGCTACAACCAGAAACTGTGACAAATGCAATATAAATGTTAAGTATTCAGACATCTGACAGACAAAAACTTTGAAAATGATAAAGTATGAGTATTGTAGTGTTTTAGTAGATGTCAAATAGTAGTAAAAGAGTAGAATTTGACTTCCTTTGTTGTTCATAAACATATTTCCACGTAAGAGTTAAAATAGTACCCTACAATGTTATCCTTTTGATAGATCAGCTATAATATTAGAATCAGAGTATTTTAGAGATATTAAAAGTGACAGAAGTCACAAATTAGGAATATGC